TTTTTATTAATTTAATAATTTTTAATATCTATGATCTCTATTTCTTTAATGTTTGGTAAATGGTTATAAGTTCTTAATTATATATTTTATATCTTAATTTTAATCTTTTAAAAGTTTTGGAAAAATAGGTAATTAAATATCATTTTCTATTATTTTCCAGTTATTCCAATATTGTTCCTATTATTTTATTTAAAATATCAATATATAATCATTTTTTTTTATTTAGATTGGATAACCTTATTATTAGATCTTTTATTATAATTTCTTTTATTTCTTAAAATGCCTTTTTTATTTCTTATATTTATTTAAAATCTTTTAGATTTTTAACATATATTATAACCATTATTAATTCCATAATTTTTCTAAAATCCTTAATTAAAACTCTATTATAATTATAAAAACCATGGAAGACTTATATTCCCATAATGGTTTCTAAGATTAACCATTCCCTAATTATAAATATTTTGGATTTCTAGATCTTGATTCTTTTTAAAGAGATTATATATCTAAAATAATCAAATTTTTAGATAAAGAAATTATTCTTATCTAGGTTTATAAGAAGCTTAGTTTTTCCTAAGGCCTTAAATATCTTATGTATATCCTTTTTATATTATTTTCTGGTTTTTAAATAGATTAGAATATTATTTAAATATATAAAGATATTTTTTCTAAGAAATTATTATAGAATATCTTAAATTATTTATTAAAAAATGGCTGGTATATTTATAAATCTAAATGGTATCATTAAATATTTAAAATAACCATATAATATTTTAATAATTATTTTCCATTTATTTCTTTTAATAATTTATATAAGATTAAAAATAAATTTTAGATCCAATGATATAAACCATTTATTATTATCTATTTCTTCTTTTAGGTTTTTAATATATAATAAAAGATATCCATCTTTGACCATGATCTTATTTAATTATCAATAATTATAGATGTCCCTCCATATTACTTTTCTTTCTTTGTTTAATTTAGATATCCTATTTTTATTCTTCTTGAATACTAAGAAGATTGGATATTCTATTAATGATTTTGACTTTTATATAAATCCTTTTATCTTCTTATTTTAGAATATAATATATAAGGTTTTGGATTTATTCTAATTTAATTTATAAACTTGATATAGTTTTGGATGTTTTTTTTTCTTTAATATAATTCTGTGGTTATATTAATTATATTCTAATATATCTATATCTATATTTGGATTATCCTGAAATAATTTTGGAAATATTTTTATATATTTTTTTTTAATTTTAATTTATTTTTGGTTATTTAATTTTTTAATATTTGTATATTATATTATAAGATATAGAGGTATAGAATGTTCCTTTATGAGGTTATTTATTTATATTTATTATAATTATTATTTTAATTCATTTAAATTAGTTTTTTTCTAATGTTTAGGGGTTGAATTTGTTTCTAATTTATCTTAATAAAATTAATTATATATCTAGTTGATTCTTGGGTTATTAGTTTTAAGCCATGTTTTCCTTAAAATTAATTTATAATTTATATTAATAAGATTAAAAGATATTAATTTTTAATATTTTTGGATTAAGATAAAAAAAACTGTAGTTTCTCTTTTGATTTTTCTTTCATTATAGATAATGAGGCTTTTGTTAATATTGCTGATTTAGTAAGGTGTCTTTTTCTTTTAATATAATATTCCATATATATTAATTAATCTTGGATGGATTAGATTAATTATACATCCTGAATTAATTAGGGTATTAAATTTATATCCTTTTTATATTATCTTTATAATTAAGTGGGGTTCTTTAGTTATTCTTATTAAACATATTAATTTAACTTTATTTAATGTTGTCTATAAGATTCCCAATAATTTTTCTATTATATTTTATTATTTATTGATTATATTGATCATTCTTTATGATAGATCTACCAATTATTTGATTCTTCTTTAAAGAGTTGTAATTTTGTTTTTTAAATGTTATATTTCTTTTTAAGATTAATTAATTATCTTTTTATATTATAATAATATTTATTTATAATATTTATTTAGAATAATATTTAAATATTAAGTCATTTATTTTAAATATTTATAAATAGGTTTAATCAGGGTAATTATGCTTTATTTTTCTTTGTGAAATAATATATAAGAGACCTTATATATATTCTTATAACATTATCACATAAATTCCTAGTTTTATCCATTTTTAATTACCCTTTTATAATCTAGATTTTTAAATATATTTAGAATAAATAGTTCTAATATTCCTTATCTTTTAAATATTCTTTTAGTGATAATTTTATAGGTTCTCTTATAATTCCATCTTCTATATTTTTAGGTTTATATTTTATTACTTTTAAACATATATTTTAGATTTATTAGGTTACTAAGATTATAATAATAATAATCCATTTATTTAATTAGTCATATATGGTATATCAATTCTAGTTTAAGGGTTTAATTCCATCTTTCTTCATTATTAAAATCCCATTAATCCTATATTATTTAGTAATATAATTATATTCTATTAAAATATATTAGAATAATATTTTTATCTAATAATAATATGGTAAAGATATTTTAATTATTAATTTATACTAAAAACATTATTTCTTTTTTTACTTTTCCTTCCATGTTCTAATCCATATCCTATAATGGTTTCTACTTATTTAAAAAAGAATTAGATTCTTTTAAAAAGACATTTGTTTCTTTTTCTTTGGAATTTCTCATGTCTATTATATCAAGATCCTATAATTAATTTATCTGGTCTATAAAATTTTCCATCTTTATTTGCTAAATAATTTCATCATAGTTTGGTGATGGGTTTTCTTCTTTTTCTTCTTCTTTTTTAATAATGTTAAATATTCCTAAAATTAAGGATCCTAATATTATTATTATTATATTAACTAATCTTCCCTTTAGGACTTATGGTTATCTTTTAGGTTTTTTATATTAACTCTTATAATATCCTATTTCTTAATAATTATAGTATTTAATCTTATTTAAATCCTTCTTAAATTTTTTATTATTATTAATTATATTAAGGTTCTGAGTTTTAGTTGGTTCTTTTTTTCCCTAATTCTTTGTTATTTTAAAGCCTTTTTTTTTTATTATATCTTTTATATGATTTATTATTATGAAGAATTATCCTGATCATATATTTGTTAATAATAATAGGTTATTTTTCTTTGGATAATTTATTTTTTATTTAGGTAGCTATTCTTTTATAAAGGTAGTTAAATTATATATCTTTAAATAATTACCCTATAATTACAAATTATTTAAATTTTATCATATAGAAGGTAACTTGTTTCTTTTATCTGAGGTAATAGATGGCCTTCCATATCTCCTTTTTTTTAAATGATTTACTAAACATCATTTACATTTTACTTTCAAAATGTTTATATAGTTTAAAAATATATTAAAACTCTTTTGATTCTTTTCTAGTAGTATTGAAATGGTTTTCCAAAATGGATTGAAATTATATAAAGATTATTTTATTTAAGAATTAAATAATAATAAAAATTTATTATTCTTTTTATAATAGGTTTTCTTTATAAAAAAATAAATAAAATTTTATATATATAAATTAATCTTTAATATTTAAAATCCTATCATAGGTTAACAAATCTATTAATTTATATTTTTTAATAAGTAGAAAAGGGATTATTATTCTTTCCTTTCTTGGTTAAGATCCTCTACCTCCCTTTTTTTTCTTATCTTTCCCTTCTTTATTATTATTATTATTTAGAGGTTTAGGGGATACTAAAAGTTGAAAAGGGATTGATTACTAAGAGATTCCTAATAGAGACCTTTTAAAAGCCTTCCCTAATCTGGCTTCCTTTAAAGCCAATTCTTTTTTAAATTTTTTAATCTCCTTAAAGATGACTATTATTTTAATTTGTTAATTAAGAATCTTTTTTTCTTCCTGGTTATCTTCTCCTATTCTAACATTAATTTCTTCCTGTATCTCTAACTCTGGGACCTATAAATATATCTTAGGAAGTATCATCTTATTAATAAATTAAAATATCTTCTCTATTAATAACAAATTTTAAATAATATAAATAGATATGGATATTCTAGGTAGTAATGGACTAGGCTATTATAAATTACCTAAATCTTCATTTTAAAATTCTTTTTTATCTGATTTTTTTTTATTTTTTAAGTTAGGATTTATTAATTTATTCTATATTTAATTATAATATTCTTTGAAAAGTAATTTTTAAAAGATATAAAAAATTTTTATTTTATTTTTAAAAATTAGTAAAATAAAAGAAGATTTAATTAATGATGGTAAAGGAATATTTTATAAATGATTCATACCATTTCTTAACCTAATATTAATATTAATTAAAAAATTATTAAAATATGACAAATTTATATTTTAAAAAGATATAATTATTGTTAGATTAGTTAATCCAGGGTTTTTTAATTTAAAGGTAATAATATTAATAATAAATCAAGTGGTTAAGTTGATTCTATTCGTTAAAAAGGCTTGAAATTTTTTTATTATATTTAAAAAAATAGTTTTAAATTAATAATTAAAGAATTATAAAAAAATGATTAAATATATAAGAGATTTCTTTTTTATATATCTTTCATTTAAATAGTCTCTATTCCTTAAATAAAGACTTTTAGAAACCTCTTCTCTGTTTATCTCTGTAATATTCCCAGAGACCTTTTTTTTGTTTGTCTCTGTGATACTCCTAGAGACTTCCAAAGGTCATTATATAAGCCTTAACATACAGTCTCTGTTGCCTCCACAGAGACCTCCTCTGATTGGTTACCTTGGCCCTATCAGGTCCTTATTTCCTGGCCTTCCTCCTGTTAGGTTATAACAACTTTCAACCTTTAATAATTCTTTAACATTTTTAAATATCAGAGAAACTATCTTCCTATTACCATTTTCCATATTAAAATATAAATCCAAAATCCTTATTTATTATTTTTAATATATTTTTATTTTAAAAAGTTATAAACATGGTAAAATACTTTTTTATTTTTTTAAATAAAAGTGTTAATATAATGATCTTTAAATTTTTCAGTTTCTAATCTATAATTTTAATTTTTTTCTTTTTTTAATCATCTAATACTAATCTTAACCCTAACCCTAATCCTAATCCTAACCTTATAACCTTCCTCGTAGCTAGATGAACGACTTGCCAGGCAGCCGTGCAAGTTTTATAGCCGGCCTAAACACATTAATATGATACATCGAAATATCCAGCCCATAGTTATCTCGTCTCTATATTAATGTAGGGTTATAATAGCTAGTTCTCATAGTATATCAAAGGCGATGTGCTGAAAGATAGCCGTGGACTACTATGCCTCCGGTGCACTATTCTTTAATTCACCTTCACGAATATTTTGCCTACAGCCCTTTTCGTGGCCAGCCTATCAAAGGCCTAGATATAAACTGTTAGCTTCATAGATCCGCCTTAGCGTTATAATAATTTACCTGTATAACATTGTTCATTTCGAATGTGGAGTCTACGGGAACCTCCCGAATCCACCCCTTTTCGAACAAGTTCACAACCTCTTTAGCAGAATAACCGCTTGGCTTACTAAGGATGTTTATGAAAGTAGCCGGTGTCCCCCCGAGTATGACAGGCCAGTAATTATTCTTGAATTGTTGAAGAAATCCAAAAGGCCCTGCTTCGATGGAAAGGAATTTACCATCGGGTTTCAGATACCCGTGGGAGCGGTGATAAAGTGTTTCATCCCCGACGCAGTCGACAACAACGTCAAAGGGACCTTTCGAAGATACCGCGTATAGCGAAGTGAGATGGTCGTAGAGAGATTCACGAGCTGTGTAGTCCACAACCTGTGATGAATATTAGGACCATGTCATCGAGAGCTATAGTACGCAACGTGAAGACGACTTACCTCTTCAGCACCTAACCTCCGAACGAAAGCTTCGTTCTTCGCCGAGCAGACGCCTGTAACATGTACACTCATCCCACGGAGTGCCTGGAGCAAGATGGAACCCACCCCACCGCTAGCACCATTCACCAATACCCGTTCACCTTTCTTCAAATCCGCCGCGCGTAGTAGCACGGCCGTAGTCTGGCCAGCTACTCCTAGAATTCCAGGTGCGACAGATTCATCCAAAGTTACGGGCTTCATTACAGCCATGTGAGCAGGGAACACGGCGTATTCAGCTAGGACACCTGTGCCACACAATATGTTCGCCACGGGCACGGTACCCGCCACGACCATTCCGATATCCATATCCAGGTTAGATTTCGAAGCCGACGGTCCGACTTGGACAACTTCTCCAACGAAGTCCATGCCGGGAATAGTGTCTTGTTTGCATGGGATCCTTAGCGCCATCAACTTGATATCTCCAGGATTCAGCGCTACGTAAGAGACTCTAATCATTATCTCTCCAGCCTTCGGTAGCGGTGGAGTCGGCCAATTGGCCTTTAACTCAAGAACATCTTTATATACTCCGGCTCGAGTGGCGACCCACGCCTTCATGGTTTTCGGAATGTTGGCCATTGCGGATACTTAGTGAAAAGGGTGATTGAAAGCCATGATTCCCATAGTAGTCGCACAGTGGCCTGTAACTTTTATATATGTTGGAATCCCAAGTGTTATATTATGAATACCGAGGTAAACCGACCTTTCTAGAGGAAAGTGGAATAAGGGGTGTTACGATTTCAAAGCTGGTCGCTCAAAACGGTAACTTTACCCGCAAGCTTAACAGAAAAGGCAGTTAGATCCACACTTGGCTTATTGAGCTTGTTCCGTTTGTAATTACTAGAGGGTTTAATACGGTGAAATGATCCACGGAAAAACAGTTCCACCCCCTTTTCATACCGTAAATGTTACGGATGATGATGATGATGATGTAATTCCAGCGCCGTTCAATGCGGATCCAGATGCCTCTTTCAGAACACAACCCAGCAATTGGTTTCCAAATCTTTAAAAGAGAATATAATGCTAGAAATGTCCACCCGAGTCGCTAGCGACCAAGATCGGCCTCGCAATTCAAAGCAGCGGCGTAGGCGTACCCGGACTGGTTGCGAGCGATGTCGAGTGCAGCGTCGCAAATGTGAGTTGATGATAAATCCATATTATGGGTTTAACCCCTGACCCCCGAGTGCTAGTATGCTAAGCGCACTATAGGTGACGAAGAAAAACCCCAGTGTGGGCGCTGCAACGCCGCCGACATAATATGCAGATATGAGACGCGCATATCATTTCTTGATAAAAATTCTCGGACAGTATCAAGCGACGTCGTCCTGCCGCAAAACTCATCTTCGGCAACTCGTGGATACCCAGCTTTAGAGGTAGTGCCGCCCCCGTAGCGCGCAGGCAACTTTCTCTTGCCACCAAACCGCTAACAGACACCCCGAATTCTAGTTTGTTGTCAACAACTCTGAGGCCCGTTGGGAGGACGCAAGTTCCAATCTTACGCCGAATACTACATATCATGCCGCGGAAAAACTAGGTCGTCCGAAACCATTTGCAGAACTATTAATCGCATCGACTCGATATTCGCAGCGCGAGAATTCCGAGGTTGGTAGCCAACTATCTCGAAACGAAGATATACAGGACCGATCATTAGATCCACCGCAAAATCTCAGTGTTTGGGAAGAGGAAAACGGTTGGCTCCTCTTTGGGCGCAGTTCATTATCGGACGACGAGGTTGAACTCTTGAAGCATTACCTCCGTTATGTTGCCCCTTGGGTAAGTCTCGTGTTCTATGAATCCTCCATAGGTAGTTAGGTACCTGGGTAGTTTGGAGACAGTCGTCCTGACTTCCACTTTGCTCTATCACACAGCTCGACGTCTATGACCAAAGCCAGACATTTCAATGTCTTCTCACTCAGTTGGCCATGAAATCACCATGCGTGTTAGAGAGCCTACTGCAGCTCTCGGCGGCCTTTTCCGACCACCCGATTGAAATAATTAGGCGCCGTGGCGTCGGACTTCTCCACATTCGGGCCATGTCGAATCCACCTACAACAGAGTCATCCTCCACAAGTCTTCGAATAATAGCAGTATTCGCACTTGTGAGGACAGTTTTGTTCGTACAAGATGTCCCAGACTTGTGGAAGCCCGGCTTTTATGCCTCCCCTAGGTTTCATAAGTTCGAGTTTGTTGATATGACTCAACGGCGCATATGGCTTGGCCTCTTTACCCTGATCGCGAGACTGGGTATGCAATGCTTCCTTGACCGTTAGCGAATATTCCTACGGTCTGATCAATTGGCATCTTACATTAACTAACTTCAACTTTGCCGAGGCTAGAAATCGCGCATTCCCTCATGAATCAAACTGCACCTATTATGCTCTCCGAGTTTATGCCACAGATTTTAAACATATCGAAGACATTTGTCGCGAGCGAGAATAAGCCACATGAGATCTTACACGCTTGTCTCTGTTGTCTTAGCTTGCTTGCCGATGCGATGAAGTTCTGTTTGCCAATTTCGGAAGCAGAAAAAGATTTGGCGTCGTCTCAATCTGTATCGGAAGCGCCGACAGGTCCGTCTTGTATTACGAGGATCGGCAAACTCTTTGATCAGCTACGAATGTGGTGGACAAATCGACCACCGCAGCTGCAGCCCTTGATAGAAACCGAGGGTTGCGATGCAACCTTTCCCACCATCGCCTTTGCGAGTGGCGCTGGCATATCATCGAATATTCTCTACCACACGGCTATGTTCTTGCTTCTTAAAAATAGATGGCGATTGACACCCCTCTTTGAATCGAGCGGAAGCACTGTGCTAGATGAAATCCAAACATCGCCCATATGGCACGCACGACAAGTATGTGGCATCGCGATGAATAGCGAACCCGAACACACTAAATGTTGGGACCCCAGTACCATGGCCGCACTCCGGCTTATGGCGCGACAAATGACGCATCCTTCACAACAAAAAGAAATAACGACATGGTTTAACCGTGTTAAAAAGGCTGGCTGGCATATCGATAGCTTAATTCATAGGTTGCACGACGAATGGGGTGCAAGCTCTGATTCTTCGGAGTTTCGTGCCCCTATTGAGAACCCCAGAGACCTCGAGGGGGACTTTAGAAAGCCCCGCAAAGATGTTGAACCGGATAGCGACATCGTCTTGGCGTAACGACATGAGAGGATCGCAATTTAACTCGTTCAATGTTACTTCTACCTGCAGTATAAGCCGTTGTGCAATGAGATCTTCATCCAACTATCGAACGCCTCTCATTTCATTAAATATGTCTATTCGGAAAGATGCAGCGGAGTAGGACGAACCTTGGTAGATAAGTCCGAACCCCTTATGTACCTAGGCACCTATGTTACGTAGAAACAAATGTTCGCTGGCTAAATTCCAGGGCGTGAATTTCCGGGTCCTATGTCGGAGATATCGGGTCGGAGATCGAAAAATAGGGGGTTGGGAATATGACACACACCTTACCTAATTTAGTTTAATCGAGTTTTTGCGGGCGCGATGGCGTATCTAACCTAACCTAACCTAAACCTATTTAGGTTTTTATGATATGCGCTTTGCTTATTCAAGCGAAAATCACATCGACGATAAGCCTCGTGGTGCTCACGTACCCAAGTACATCTACAGCAAGTGATCGAAGGGTTTTCAACTACATCCCTACTTAGGTGGTAATTAAGATACAAATTTAACAATGCTTCGGCTTCGAGGGAAAGTTGATACACCTCAACAGTTTTTTTCGCCTCGGAATAACGGTAATCATACACAGCACTGCCAATTATGTGAAGGGTTATTCACCGAAGATCTATATACGAGACTCAGATCGAGCGGTCAAGGCCTAACTGAGATCCAGTCATCTCATGAGCTCCTAGCTAGGGATATACACGATGGCATGCTCAAAGGTTGTAATATGTGTGCGATTCTTGGGAACTCGGTATTGACTGCCACGAGAAATGAACTACCTTATCATGACGAGGAAACGTTCCGCCGCTATATACCGTGGTATCAGAGCCAAAAGCCAATAACGACAACTTCCATCAGACAAGACATATCGCAAGATAATGACGGCGACAATGATTTTCATAAAGGCTTAGCTTATGCATACTTTGCGGGGCTGTCACCAGAGTCCACGTCTGGTGGGCTACAACCATACAAATCAACGGAAATAGAGCCCGAATTGACCTTCAGCTCACTTGGCTGTGATGCAAAAATATTCCTTAAGATGATAGTTATCAAGGGGGACTATTTGTCTGGATTCGACCTCATCACTATTGATATTGAGGCTAGACCAAGTGAAAATTGTCCCAAACCATGGATATTCATCACTCCTTACGGTGCAACACTCTGGTTGGAAGTAATATCTAACAGTAACGGGGTCTTCGCCGCGGAGTGGAAATCTCTCTCCGCAACTGAGATATTATGGCCGGATGTAGCACGGAGATGACTCGATACTTGTCAGCAAAAGCATCAATGTGCTCCGTATAGTACGTTTCGACCTACGCGTCTAATAGACGTCGGGGACTCGGTATATCCACGCCTCGTCGAAACTAACTCTACATATACGGAGAATTACGTAACTCTTAGTTACGTATGGGGTACAAAGCAGGACTACGTCTTAACCCAAGGAACCCTACGGGCTAAACTTGACGGCCTTGATGTTCAAAAAATTCCTAAGTCGGTTGGGGACGCCATGGAAGTTAGTAAGCGGCTTGGCTTTCCTTATCTATGGGTTGATGCCTTGTGTATTATACAAGACTCCCCTGAAGACAAGCTTAAGGAACTACCGTTGATGGCGAAGATTTACCAGCATGGTGCCGTGACTATTTCAGCCGCCAGCTCTCCAGCAGCTTCCGGTGGCTTCTTAAAACCGCCAATTCCTCCCGTTTTTAAGGTACAGCCATTCCAGATAACTATTGGTAGGGGAGTACCTCAGTTTCCGCATGTGAACTTGAGCCTAGGCTTTCGAGAGGAAAGGCCAGATTTCAAAGATCCTATTGATTCTCGCGGATGGACTTTACAAGAATGGGTCCTTTCTTCGTGTCGCCTGCGATTCACTTCTAGGGGGGTTCAATGGACATGTAATAAGCTGATTGCAGACCCAAGCAGCCTTTCGGGCGAGGAATACCGAGATCCCCCAATACAGTTCAGCCCGGATGGATATACACAAACATACTTTGGAGAGGCATCAGCCATTATTTCTGCTGTAGACTCAAACACCCGGCTTTCCCATAAGTATGTTGTCGATGAAGCATATAAGAGGAAAGAGATGTCAACAAGATGGATAGAGATACGATCTCAGTATGCACAACGATCTCTCTCGTTTCCGGGAGACAAACTCGCAGCGATTTCAGCAGTCGCGTCGATGGCAGCTGAAGAACATAATATGACTTATCTCGCGGGATTATGGAAAGAAGCGTTACTGGTTGACCTCCAATGGTATTACATATTCCGTTCCGAACCGACTAACCGTCTTTCGGCTGTTTCCACGTCTACGGAATCTCACGACGAATATGCCGCTCCATCCTGGAGTTGGGCTAGCGTTAAATATGATAATGGCACTCTCTACCCGAAACAGTCAAGAAAATGGACAACTGACCGCCCCTGGAATTTTAAAATATTAGACTGTGCCGTAACCCCGGTTGATGGTAGCGATTTCAGCTTCGGGCCGGTAAAGTCAGGTTATCTCGTCGCTGAAGGTAGAGTTTTAGATGTCGAATGGGAACCATGGATTGAGAATACAGTGGCCTTAAATAAAGTTATGTTATATGATTCTCCTCGAAGAAAGGCAACTGAAAGGTAGGACAATCATTCCTAGACTTCCCAACGTCATGCTTGGAGAAAGGCTTGACACTCAAGTGCTTGATTATAACAAAAGCGGACCTGGTATTCAATCAACGCAATCCTGAACGTTATCGGGACGTGATTTGCGCACATGGGCTTTTACTACTACCACAGTCTGAAGCCAATAACTATAGGCGCATTAGTCTTTGTTATCTCCACGAAGGTGGATTGTCGGAAGAATCAACTCTAGAGACAATCACGATTACATGAAATTCTATATGAACACGACGTTACTCGACATTCTACTATCCCCCAGGCGTACACATGGCATGGGGCGTCATCTCTCGAAAATTATCAAGGCAACAAAATCATCTAAGTTCCATACCCAAAACACGAAAGAAAATGCTTGATTAATCACGTTGGCTGTTATTCCTATATACACCTAGGTAAGTAAGATATAATGTCGCACAACAAATTACGAATACCTTTTCATATCAAGACCCAGGTGACTAAGGATTAAATGGCTAAGGGGTTTGAAAAGAATGCGACGGATAATCTTGCGTTCCACGAACCTGGCTTCGGTCCATGGCAAGTACGGTCTGCTTTTCGACTGGATCGTGAACGACGCTTTCCTTGTACCTAGGTAATCTTGATCAGCCCACATACATGCAGTTCTTCGTCGGCAATCTCCTCGTCTACAACGTCGTTATCTCCGACGAGGATGTAATCATTGAGACGCGGGTCCTTCATGACGTCGCCGTCGTCTGGGAGTTGCCAACTGGGGTCGTGATCGACGAGAACGTCTCCATAACTACCAGGGTGTTTCTCTAGGAGACATTCAAGTTATTGTTAAATGATTGTATGATGTACGCGAAAATCCCTCTACGTCTGTCGTCGTAGACGAGAGCGTAGGATGATGACCCCCAGATCCGGTTGGCACCGGTGTAGTACTTGATCATCTTGGCGTTGAAAACACAGCGATACTCTAATAGTTTCGCATCTGTTTCCCTGTACGCGTTCTCGCCCGGCGATCCAAATAGGTTAAGTAATTATCTAACTTAACTTCAACTGGCTTGATCAAATCATCTACATTTCGAGCCGACGGCTTTAGTAAGCTATGGCATGATGATATATATAGGTTCCTAGGTAAGGTACTAATTACCTAACTTAGCTATCTTACTTCAATCGTCGTCCGGACTGCCATCGCTGGGGACTCTATATATTAAACGTCAGTAATAAATACTCTCAAAGAAGTAACGGTACTTGCCGTGAAGGTTGCGCCGCGTCGAGAATCGCCGACTGTCGACGATCGTTAAGAGAACCTCGCGTGGCGACGCTACGGATAGACGCGCTCGACCCACGACGAGAAATGGTAGGGTGGGAAACGCCGTGGAATGGAAGAGAAGAGACTCTACGTCTTGAAGCGCGCGAGAGGCGTCGCGCGGAACTGAAAGTTGTTGGCGATCTCGTTCCGTTACCTGTCGAAGTAGATCGACAGCCGGTTGTCGTCCCATTCTTTGGATGGGGACGTTTGGTATGTTGGGTTGAGAAGCGATGGGTGGACGAGGTGATGGGGACGAAACCTGGTACTTGGATATGTTGCCAACCTAGACGAGGAAGTATAGGAATATAATGAGGAGGACCAGGTGGTCTAGGTGGCGTCGCGTCGCGTCTTCGCGGAAGAGCAGACGTCGAAGCAGCCGATTCGCGTTGTTGTATTCTCTTTCTCTGATTGAATATATTGGCATCGGCAGATTAAAAAGACGGTCAACTAAAAGACGACTTACATCTTTAGAATTGTCTCTACAATCTAGATATGTCTTTACGCGGGTTTGGCCGTCGCGTTTGCTCATATACTGCCAAATTGGTTTCATCATGGTACAATTATAACATTTGGCCTGGTCGTCGATATTGGATGCCCAATCGGGAAGATCGGAAGGAGGAGGACGCTCCGAAGCACCATCGTGAGAAGAGGACATGACGACTAATGGAGGAATCGGTCGATGTTAGAATACGAGTAGATGAGACGACGTTCTAAGTAGGCGAGCGAAACTTCGCTCAAAGATAGATAAGCTAAAGACGAAGACGAAGACGATAACGACGCGAAGCTGCCATCTTTGAAAATGAAGCAGTCGCATGCCTTAAAGTTTTCATTCCCATCAAATTTAAAATTTATGCAAAGAGATATGTTCAAGTAATGATAAGTACCTAGGTAGGTAGGTACCTAAGATATATTGATGGATCTATAGTCAAGTGAAGGATAAGTACAAGAGTACCTAGGTAGCTCTGTTACATAAGTAAATCCCACATATAAATAGAGCTATGCTAACTACCTACCTACATATTTATAAAGTGATTACGGAGAGTTCGTTCTACCATGTTGAATAGGTACTTTCTAAAGTAAGTACCTACATAAGGCGGTAGGAGCCATTATTAGGGGTACCTCTTGATTATATACTCTTAAAGATATACAAGAGATCAAAAAACTAATAACTATTACGGTTACTTATAAGAGTCTTAATAACGACTAGAATATGTTTACATTATTATAAACTAAGTAGTAAGTTCAAATAGGTACACATCGTATGAAATCATCTATGAAATTATTCCATAAGCTAATATCTAATTAGCTAGGTACCTAGGTACCTAGGTACCTGAAAAGTGATTAAACAAGTAAAATGAACTGCCAACAGGTCTAGCCATTATATTACAGTTCACTCTACAAGTAAAAGTCTTTTACGCTCTGCTATTAGCACAGTTCGATAAATAGGGATACTCTAATATAATATGTCAAAATCAGGGTAATTCCAAATTGAAAAACCCATTGTTATATTATTCATACAACAATATAACTACATGTATCAGAGTCCAAACCATTTATAAGGATGAATGAAGTAGAAATATCAAGTGTTCATTTCATAAATCCGGCTTTCCCGTCCCCATTGGAATCGGTCATCGGATTCAACTTGTTCAAAAGACTAGGGTGATCCTTTTTTCCAGATTCCACAAGAGAAGTGTCACGTTCAGTATGAGCAGAAGTAGTACCTTTTCCAGCATCTCTGTACTCTTTCTGGGCTGACGACTGAGCAGATACGGCCGGGTGTGTGCCCACCGTGGTAGCCGACTTGCCAACTTGTGGTCCCCCAGACACATGATGTCTACCTCCATCCAGCGGGTCGTAGTCACCATGGAATACACCTTCGGGTGGATTTTTCAGCCCCGAATCCTGCTTATCATGCATTGTAGAGAGCGTTCCTCGAATTGTCTTAGGTTCGCCCTCGAAAGCATCGAAGCGTTCCTTCCGCCCTCCTAACGCACCACCTTGTTGTTCATACTCCTGCATGCTGACAGGAGGTAGGGAGGTAGTTGAGTGGTGTTGAGCGGCATTGTGATGAGTCTCGTGGATCGGAACTGTAGTATGAACAACATTTGGCTGAATCGTTTCTTTGTGAAGCACAGGCTGGACAGTCTCATGCACGTGACTACAGTATAACATTAATTTCTAACAGAGCCCGGGGGTTTCACGCCAAAACTTACTGATGAACATGCTCCCCTTGGACTGTAGGAGCATGGCTCTGGGTGTGGGTGGTGTCTTTAATGACCCTTTCGTCTTTATACTTCTGGTTCTCGGCTGCTAAAGTCTTTTTGGTAGTTTCATGATCACGATGATCATAGTCGCGATGCTGGACACCACCAACACGATGCTCATGCTTCTCAGGCAAAGTTTGCCTATCCTGAATGGGTTGCACAGTACGATGATAATGATCCTGATGAACCTCTTTATTTATGGCTGTGTTGATATCTTGGTGTTCGGTAGGTTTAACCGTCTCACGTTTGACGGCTGGCTCGACAGATTCGTGTACAGTCGTATCATTATGGCCGGTTTTGCCAATGAAGTCTCGAATAGCATCCTTGGTCTTGTTCATTGTGTAAAATAGGTTGCGATTAGAATATAGAGAACTCGAACAAGTATATTTAATGCAGTCGAATCAATAGGGAAGAGAAGTGGGAAGTTTGGGTTCTGGTCATCAGAGAACACCGAAGATCCGGGTTTATATAGCTAGGCTGGAGCGAAATGGTTGATGTAATGCATAGCGAGCTCTACTTCAAAGAGATTATAGTGGATAATAAGCCATATATAAGTTACCAAATTAGGCCAATATATGATGAGATATCCAATCAAGTAGATGCAACTGGATCAGAACGGGGTAAGTGGACCACGCGAAGGTACGCGTCCATCCCAAAGTATGATGAAATACATAGATGTGCATGGAGTTTTCTCCTTCATAGAGATAACATATTACATACTAATAGTATACTAACATAAATGCCGCCTTTGCTCCTCTTGAACTCTGTCTCGTGGTATGGTTTACCAAGTCTAATGAATGCCGAGCTGGTCACTACGCCCACGCTAAGCGAGTTAAACCAAGTAGTCACGAATAAGATGTTGAGAAAAGTAACAATTGACTCGATCATGTCGTAATCGAAGTATATTGTGATGTTGATGTGAAGTTGCTTCGGAGTTCCACCGTCGCTCGTTGAATGCCATCCTATGGCAATCCTTGGTAGGTTTCTCAATCCCAATTCCTCAGATAGCCTAGCTCGTACGAAAGTTTACAGATCAGTCAGGATTTCTACGTTTTCGAGTAGTGGTGACGTTGAACATATACTTTATCCACCTACTATGACGGTCAGGTGTCTAAGTAAGCTCCACAGCCTTCGACTCAATTTCGAGCAGCACTCCATATTATCTTCATAGTCGTCATATTTGGTCTAGCGAAGAAATACGAAACCAACACTTCTCTGCTCGTCTAGGTAGTTATTGAGCCTACCTAGGTACTCAAGATCATCTCTAGACCGGCTCTACCACCTGCATCATGAAACGGCTCAAAAACCTCCTACGAAGGCGAAGCTACAATGAGGATGATGTTGTCCCTTCAGATAAAGTAGCTAATAGGGCTCGGACGTCACAAGTTAGGAGAAGCTATGAACCCCCCCAGAATTCCAGAAATAACAGACCTACCAAGGGTGATAAACAAGCAAGGCGCAACGAAAATAAATCCAAGCCTGATACCAATACGCACAATGCTCCAGCGACGTCGAATTCTAACCATCATATAGGGGGGAAGGCGAAACTTAAACGATCACCGCACAGAACAGCAGGGGAACATGAGAACAGCTGTTTTCGAGACTCGCACGCAAGTAACGCAATTGCAACAGGTAAGAAATCGAGAGACCTACCAATTGAAATACCGGGGCAGCATTTAAGTGGTCCTTCAATTTCGAGTGCGAAGAAATCGTATGAACCAGATGTGCCCAAGAATGACAGAATCAATACACCAACCGAAGAAATAAGTGAGGATAACGCCGACGAAAGAAGTTTCCGGACAGCGAAAGAGGAAATCTCAGATTGTACTCATACAGAGGATATCGACGAGAACGTATCTTATGCATCTGGTTAGTATAGAAGGTATACACAACAATGCACGGATGTAGATGCTAAGGAATTATCCCAGTTGTTACACACGAAACCGTCCACCCACAGGTTCACGAAATCCTAGAGGAACAGATTCACCGCGACGTCCATAATCATGACGTCTACCATCGAATTCAACCAGTTTACGACGTTGAATTCTTACCTGCTCGACATTTTGTCCCCGGTCCTAGCGGAGATTTAGTAGAGGTTTCCGAGAATGATCTTCCGGGCTGTACCGGCCCAAATCAACGCTGGTACCTTGACAAGATTTTACCAAATCCTCAACCCGAATCAGCTGTCATGGATGAGGCAAATGAAAGCCCTGTCGACCCAGAGTTATTGGGTCCCCTAGATTCGAAGGATAACAATGATCATGGATTTAAAACTATCTACAACGACAGCTGGAAAGCCAGTGCTGCTCGTGCGTTCTAATGGATCACATGGGACATCGATATCATCCAGAGAATGTCATTTATGACGAGGTCGCAATATCATATCGAATTTGATACCTCCTACCTAGTTTATGCAGTCAAAACATTTTAGGTAATTCGGACGACGTGAATGATTCCGACCTCACACAAACCCGCGACGCCAAGGACCGCTTCCCTCCACCGTGATACCTATCTGGGATATCTTATGCGCATTGAAGCTATAAAGGCTCCCTTTCCCCCGCTTCTTCGTATTTGCGGGTTTCTCATAGGTCGTTATTAAGAACCCATTATGGCAAGAATCCCGACGTCGCGATGTTTGCTCCAACAATATTATAGCATTACTACTCGGTCAGTAAAATTTCTTCCAATTCTGGAGGGTATACGACAGAGAAGATGGATGCCTTGCCTACCTCGTAGGTCTCGGCCGTCTGCGACATCATCGAAGCACCGCCACGCTATAGTACTTCTTCTTAAGGCCCTTGATGATTTTCGCAAACGATCCATGTTCAAATGCAAGGCTGCCGGGTTAGTCCGATGTACTTGCAGGAAATCAGTCGATTAGTTTCCGGCATTGACGGAACGCCCCCGAAATGATCCGAATTCGGACTGTTGATCTCGTCTCGAAGGATTGAACTGCATGTCATCCGGGAAGGATGCAGAAAATCTAGAACGCTAGCGATCTCCCGCTTCTGCCCCTTGCTGATATGCAGAGGGTTTCTTCTATCGCATTCGGAGGTGTACCACATAAGGTTACTACATTTCAACGATTGTTGACTTGGACGTGAAGGACAACTAGAAGGTGTTACAATCAATTCTTACACAATGTTTTATAATACCCCCTATAAGGCGGTCAGCGACCTTCTAGAGCTGTGAGCTTTTATATTGCAAAGTGAGCGTCTCATTAATTCATCCCACCTTGGTATAAATTTCCACGAATTGACATTTCACCAAGGTACGGCGTTTATTGTTACGTTGACCAGAGTTACACTTATTGCGCTCTCGATCGTAGATTTTATTACATCTAGACCCAGCATGCAATACGTGGCACTGGACAGCTGAGGACAATACTTGGGAATTAGATGAAGTTCATATTTATAATGTTCTGGACAAACAATGTAAAGAATTGTACCCAATTCTGTAGCATTAGGTACCAAGAAGTGACAAGCTACAATCGACGGGGTTTCGTACCCAAGATTACCCCAATCGGCTGTACTACCGAGGATATTAATGTAGCAAGCATTATCGCGGTAATAACTCCTCTCTAGCCCCCTTTTCTATAAAGATTTCGAAACGTCGTACCCGGCCCCCAAATCCTGTGCGGATGACAACAAAACCGACGAATTCTCGAAACCTCTCTGCGAACCTGTATGCGCGGCTCTTTTTTCTTCATGTGCGATCTCACCATATTGCCAAATACTATGGTCCACCGGGTCAGCTTACTCAGTTTTGTGCGACACTGATTCGAACAAGTGATCATATATACATAACGGATGGCATGCCCAGAGAAATCTTGCAGAGCTCATGGTGGTCCATTGCATTTCTATCCCTCAAACGTCACTCCCCTCTTCAACATGTACTAATCTCGTGATTAGAATCCTACCGATGCCGATATCCAATCCCCGGGCGCTTTTATTTTCTTGTGAGGGGCGAAAGTTCATGTAACGTGTGGACAGACGAAGATACAGACGGCTAGAATTTCTAACCAGCCTGTCTGAAACCGGCATGAATCATATGGAAGTTATAAAATGTGATATCTTAATCTTGTGGCGAGTCTTCCTCTGGAATTGAGCACCGATTGTTGGGGATAGACAGGGGTACAAAAGCGCTGTCAGCGAAACTCTTACCCGATCCTATGACGGTTGCAGTTGTGTATCCTCCTCCTTGCTGACAATTCGTCTCTTGCAGGCGGCACAAGCATGCCCTGCAGGCTGCGAGCTCTGCACTAGTCCAAAAAAGAAAAGACTCTCTTGGTCTGCCGGTTGGGTGCGCGAGCTAGCATGCATGTCTTGCATGGATTTACTTCGAGTAAGAATAGGATAAGGGACAAAAACCCCTCATCGACTACCGTGATTCTAGGAAGAGATGCGGTTTTAGGGAACAGGCTATCTCCTCGGCGAAGACTCAAATCTTGTTTTACCTCGAGGGCTGAAAGACCAAACAAACTCGGAGGGCCTTGCTGCTATTATGATATTCCTAGCCAACTAGGATGCCCCATCGCTTTTTCATGATTCCCCGCGATTCGAAGAAAAAGCAATACTGGCCAGAAAAGGCTCTAGGGATATCACAAGAGCCAATGATAGATAAACAACAGCGACGTCAGGACCGGAGATATGTATCCACCCGAACAGAACGGACCAGTGGAGGCGCCTCAGACGAAAAGAAGGCTGCAAGAATTGACGTCCCCATGAGGTATGTGTATTTTACCGGGGGGATTGGTCGTACACGAATGTTTGAAATTCGTCCAACCGGTAGGTGAGGTAGATTCAGTCCACCTACCTACCCTTGCGATTTTTTCTGTTCTCTTCATTTCCCCGGTGAATTGACTTATAACTCTTCGCGGGTAGTCGCATATAAAATTATAAAATCTCTCTTCATTGGGTTGTCGGGTCGGAAGCATGTTGCGGCTCGGATGTTGGGTTATTCACGATGTGGCGTCTTCATCTTTTCTTGGTGGCTTCTTGGTTAGATGTGCCATTGGTTCAGATAAGAGAACTTTGATGCTCTTAATATCGAATACTTTAGAACACCTCAATTGTTCTTTACGTTGATTCCTGTGTGCGACTTGATCGTCGGCTTTGGAACGGAAAGATGAAAAGCCATTCGTTGTTCGTGTTAACAGCAATCGCCAAGGCCTACATAGATACATATGAAAATTAGAGCCTATCGTCAAATTGCGATAACCTATGAACTTTGCCTGGGTGGTGCTTCGCTGAGAAGCTGTTCTGTCGCTCGCGAACTACAAGCGGAAGGAGTTTCTCGATACAGATACCTACCTAGGTAGGTAGTTGTTCATCCTAAGGGGCGCTTTACATGCCATTGGAAGAACATTCTAGTCACACAGCTCATCTTGTGCGATCGGCTCAGTTCATAAAAATAGTAATATACTTAGGTAATGTTAGTAAGACTTAAGGATTTAATCATTTCACCTAACAAGGCTTATGTCGATCGCCATCAGCTTGTGCTCTAAAATTAAGAGACGCACTTCTAACGACGCGCAGTCGTTTCGTTTCTACGCAGTGTCCACTAGTATTTGCATTTTTTGATGAGTTTAGTACTTCGCACAGGAGTTTTAATTCCGCTGTTTTTTCTCTCAGTAATGGTAAGTATCTTGCCTGCTTTTCAGATTCTTTGCACCTTATTGACGCTCATACCAACTTGGCAACTTTGACTTGATCCCAATTAATTTTTCCCCGGTGAGATTTTCGGCGGTTGGACATCCTCGGTTCCCCATCATTTAGATACCCGGTAACAATAACTTTAATCACCCCGTATTCTTGTTCCTCCAGACCCCACAGACCTGGAGTTTGGGTAGATACTACGGGGGATGCAGCAAGGTGTGGTTCGATTTGCTGCCCCCCAAGGTCTCGTGACTGTCAGGTGTCCCTTGCGTGTCACTATAAGCTCTGCTACTCTACTCTACTACATGTCAAAGAAACATATAGGAGGTCCGGTAGGGAAAATCGGTTTCTAGCTCCGTTGGTGTCCGGGAGACCGAACTATCTCCAACTATTGAGTTAGATGGAAGATTCTGAGATGGTGTTTCGAGCATGGTTCCAATGGAAAAAGTCGGATTTCCTAGCAAAGGATGCATTGCGACGAGGCACATGGTGGGAGGTCTGCTAAGCTCAACTAGGTATTTTCATTGCTCGATCGTCACAAATTAGCGCAGTGATTAACGGGACCAACATAGTATCCCGACCGAAAGTTATGGGACCTGCAGTCCATCGGGTCTAATTATAAATGACCGACGTGCCTACGCGGTAAAGATAGTCGTTCACGATGCCAGGGGTGGAGGGCACCGATGTTTAAGACGACCTTTTTATTTTAGTCATATTTTCGGACTTGCGCGATATCTGCTGCGGATGTTATTGGATCAAGAAAAGAAGCACTAGAAAAAATTAACTTCCTTCTATTATTCTTCCTTCCCTGCCTCTCTGCGTCTTCTCCCTCTCAAAACAGAAATAACGATAAGAAGGATCATTTACTACTTACCAGGGTTCTCTTTTGCCAAGAACTCGGTTGAAAGCTTGACTTGACTCGATACCTTGAGTCAAGTCCTAATATTGTCTGTGTATCAAAGGGTGTTGGATGCAAAATTTACAAAGTGATGGTTTTGATGGTGCTGGTGCTGGTGATGATGACGATGGGCCTCGAACGTTTAAGATCATGTCCGATTGCCCCGTCAACCCTATCAACCTCGTCGCCCCATCTTTATTGTTGTCTTCTCGACAACTCAACCTCCCCATGTGCTTCTATGCCAAGACCACATGCGTAGATGCGGCGACATTGGAAGGAAAGGAAAATGGGAAGAAAGAAAAGAGGAAAAGCCGCCGCGCCGGCAGACTAGTGGACTAGTGGCCACATACGTAAACGAAAGTGCCCGGATGTGGCTTTTGCCTAGACGTGCTAAGCCAAGATGAGGTTAGAAAAGTTCAGGAAAGTTAGGAAGCTTATGATGAACAAGGACAGGGGGAGGATAAATAGCCCCTGGATCTTCATAATCCTAGGCATAAACCTAGGCGAACTAGGTCCCTCCTCGATGACGTATTTGGCAATGGTTGACAAACACTAGGTTCTAAACGTGCTTAGCGCTGCAATCCCGAGTATTTTATTTTCGCCGCAATCTATTCTCTTTTCGTACTTCGTCGTCCGTCTTATTGTGTTTTGTTGGTGTTGATTTTTTTTCTCTCTCTTCCAACCTTCGTTAGACCATGAAAAAAGCCTCTACAAGCCATGTGGACTACATCTGTCATCCCACTCCTTTAAAAAGTTCCACCAAGTTCACCTTGGCGTTCACCTAACCCGCCCCATCCCACTCCGTGAGGCGAGAGAGGCACAAAACTTATCTAAGCGAGAAACCCACGCCGGGGTCACAGGTCAAAAGGGGGGGGGGGATTACTCCAGTACTCCAGCTTTAGGATCAATATGAACAGATGCTGACCCCACGTAATAAGTCGGCAGTTTGCTATGTTGGGTAGCAAACGTGTCGTCCCATTCTACTTTACTTGAATACAGTACGTCTCTTGCATTTGAATTGGTTACCGAGTTACAGTAGCGAGTCCTTGGGCAATGGGAATGACACCCACCGTGGCGTTGCGTGCTACTCTCCTACGTATTCAGGGCAAGTTTCACGGAATTTTGCGGTGTTTTTTTCGTGTGGTGTCGTGGAGTGTCGTGTGCAACCGGTGCAACCCAACCATTTCCTGGCCATTTTTTATGGGTTTCGATGGGTCTCGCGCGGTAGTCGACAGGCTAGACCAGGCAGGCCGAAACTACCGGTGGGTAAGGCAGTAATTGAAACAATAGTAATAAGGACCATGACAGACCAGACCGACCATGACAGCTAGCAAGAAAGTCGTCGGAGGTAACAGCAACGAGCAATGCGTGTTCGAGGGTAGCAAAGGTATGTAGTAGACCATGTAGCAGATGTAGCAGATGTAGCAGACGTAGACATGTAGTAGATGTAGGGTATCAGGCGAGGAAGCAAGAGGTATTGAAACGAAACCCCCATCTACTCCTCCATATTTCCCTCCATCTTTTTTCCTCATACAACTCCCCAAGACTCCCCCCATATAATTGCGGCCCCCCCTCTTATGACATCATCGTAATAATCCAAGTTGCTGAGGCTCACGTTCATCTTCGTCATTGTAATCTTCACTTTATTTGGCCATTTCGTCTTTTGATCATCCGGATCGTCTGTCGATTCTTTACGCCTATCTTGGAAAAAGTAGGGAAAATACACGTGAGGGAGGGGAAAGGAGCATTAGAAAAAATTAATAGGATGCATGTTTTCGAAATGTGTATGTTATAGCGTATAAGGTTAGGTAAGTACCTAAGTACCTAATCTGTGCTCTAGTAAAGTTAAGTTTGGTACTCCTCATCCTTCTCCTCCATAGCCTCCATAACCTCCATGAACCCCCCATGTTTCTCCAATTACTTCTCCAACAAACACAACCTAGGTACCCAAGCAGGCATTTTAAAAATAAAAATAAAGCTAAAATAAAATGTTAGGAATAAAATACAATTTAAAAAAAGGTACGTGTGATGTACACGATACAAAATATTCTACCCAAACACGGGAAATGAATTGGAAGAAGAAAATAAAATAAATCAATTATTTCCCGCATTCCCCAGAAAAAAAAAAAAACAAAATTCAGAAATCGTGTGCCATGAGCGTGCATGGACATGGGGTCGTCTGACATGAAATCCTGCATTCGGTTGACCCCAAGGAGGAGCCCCGGATTTGCCAGGACATTCTCCAGCCCGCCAGCCTACCAGCCTACCAACTTACTTACCTACCAACCTACCAACCAACGACGCAATCGAATCAATCTCGTCTTGTCGGATTTCTCCCGATTCTGTTCACCATTCGCCATTCACACCCAACGAGCCGAGGAGTAGTATAGTAGTATACCTGTATAGTAGTAGAATAGTGTCAAAGTAACAGTTGTAATAACAGGTAGCAAGCAACGCAACCGAGACCTTCCAGACGAAAAAAAAGAACGTCGAACCAGCCAGCCCAACCTGCAGCCAATGCTGTCGTCATACCTATAGTACCTTATATCACCTTATAGGGATTACGCGGGTCCAAAGCTACCGTTCGAACTGCCTCTTTTATTTCTTTTTATTCTAGAGGGTAGGTAGAAGCCCAATTCTATCTATTCATCCCCTTCCATCCGATTGTCCGCTGCGAATCGCATGTCAATCCGCCATTTCGACCATTCCAGTCGTTAGGTTTTTTTCCTTTTTTTTTTCTTTTTTAAACATCCCGAATCCCTGCATGGTAGTCCCGGTAGCATCATGTTCGGGAAAGGAACGCACAGGGTCCATCGGTCCCATCCATTCAGTTCCAGTCCCAGCGTTTTTTTACACTAGTTCATAAGTTAGGTGTAGTTTATGACAAAGTAGCGCCGACCTATTTTATTTTTTTATTTTATTTTATTTTAATTCTTTACCTGAATGGTATCTAACCTAACACCGCTGATGGAGACACCGAGATACACCCACATTCATATCCACATTCACATCCACATTCACACATCCTACTACATCCTACTTACTCCGTACATGTTACCTTATAACGTACATTCTACATATTACTCCGTACATCAGAGCATCCCCAAGTATAAGTGTGGATTGATCGATTAACTGGGATGTTGTATTAGATATTATGGATTATGTATTATTTATGTAGGTATGTACACGATAAGGTATGTAAATTCTTAGGCACATATATGTACATATATATGTATCTACGTGTATGTAGGTACGTACTTTACTTACATTAAAGTATGATACAAGCTGACGGTTCCAGGTATCGTCACTGGACTGGCATCCCCGAGGGTCCTGATGACTTCCCACTTTTCTTTTTTTTTTGTCTGCGGTTCGGTCGCGCTCACTCCTCTGGCTTTCTTCTCACTCGCCTCTTTCTTGAACAAGGTTCACTAGGTCAAGGTGGTCAAGGTGGTAGGTACATAAAGTATAGACTTAGTTCTTATTAAAGTCCCTCTAGTATTTTCTTGGTTTCTGTCCCCATTAATAAGCTCCAGACCATCGCCATCATCTCATGTATATAAACTGGAGACTATCCCCAGACCGGCGTGCATGTTGGTTTGCCCTGTAGACTTGTTTCTCCTAATAAGCCTTTTGTCTCGGGTTTACTTATCCCTCCTTCTTCCTACCTACCTTCATGCTCTCCCGCTGTTCTAGTAATTAAGCCACTTACATCATCATACCAACTCCCACCCCGAGGCTGCATACCAAGGAATCTCTCCACCTCTCCGTCTCCGTCTCCATCTTGCTTTTGTTTATTACTTCGTTCCCTCCCTTTCCCTACTCTCTTGTATTCGTTCCCTCCCTTCCTAGCCTGGGCGGTATTAGCTAGGCCAATTCTCTGAGAGAGATACTTGGTTGTACGCCAGTTAGCAAGACTCGGTAATTCCACCCTACTGCTGAAGTTTTGCCTACTACGATACGACGCCCTTCATTCTCCCAATCCAGCAATGGAGGGGGCTTCCAAAGAGTGGCCCGCCACGTTCGGGCCTAATGACGAGCGTCCAACCTACAGTTCCGAGGAGACGGTAGGTCACGTCAATGGTGGCCACACCGCGGTGGGGCCAACCGTTGATCAAACCATCGCCGCCAAGGTGGCTGAGAAGGAGAAGGTCAAGGCCGAGACGGGCAAGCGCGAGATCAAGGAAGAAGATTGTGAGAGCGAACTAGGCTTTGCCTTTCCCACGTGGAAGAAGTGGTGGATTCTCACCGTCATCTTCCTTGTCCAGACCTCGATGAACTTCAATACCTCTCTGTATTCGAACGGTCTCGAGGGTATTTCGGGTCATTTCGGCGTCAGCGAGCAGGCCGCTCGTGTTGGTGCTGCCATCTTCTTGATCACATATGCTTTCGGTTGCGAATTATGGGCTCCCTGGTCGGAGGAAATTGGCCGCAAGCCAATTCTACAGGCTTCTCTGTTCCTTACCAATCTATTTACGCTCCCGGTTGTCCTAGCTCCCAACTTCGGTTGTCTACTCGCTGGCCGTGCTCTCGGTGGTCTTTCGACGGCCGGAGGAAGTGTAACTCTCGGTATGATTGCCGACATGTTTGAAAGCGACAGGCAACAATATGCCGTAGCCTACATGTAAGTCTTTTATTCGCCACTATTCTGTCCTGTTCTTCGCTCTAGTTATAGTAAGCTTGCGATGCCAACTAATTCATTACAGTGTCTTCTCTTCGGTCGGCGGATCGATTCTCGGCCCCATTGTCGGTGGATTCGTCCAGATCCTACCTCCCGAGCAAGCGTGGAAGTGGTGTATATGGATCCAATTGATCTTCGGCGGCGCGGTACAGATTCTTCACTTCTTCACGGTCCCTGAGACTCGCACGACGATTATGTTGAACAAAATTGCCAAGAAGCGAAGAAAGTCGGGCGAGGACCCTAACATCTACGGACCCGACGAGATCGAATCTTTCTGGAATCGCTTTACCTTCAGGGAGCTCATCTTCACGTGGCTGCGTCCTTTCCGCATGTTCGTTACCGAGCCTATCGTTCTCACGCTCTCGCTCCTCTCTGGTTTTTCGGATGCCTTGATCTTCATGCAGATTCAATCGTTTGCCCTCGTCTACGGCAAAGGCGGATGGAATTTTAATAATTGGCAAGTTGGTCTCGCTTTCTTGCCCATTGGTCTTGGTTATGTTATCGGCTGGTTGCTTTTCCTACCCGCTTTCAAGAGGAACCAGCGCCGCCGCGAGAAACATCCCGAAGACGAACATGCCCAATATGAATCCCGTATGTCGCTCTTGCTGTGGTTGGCGCCTTGCCTACCGATCGGTCTCATCATTTTCGCGTGGACGAGCAGCGGACCCCCACTACACTGGATCGGCTCCATGTTCGGCACTTGCATCATCGGTATCGCCAACTATGCCATCTACATGGCCACGATCGATTACATGGTTTGCGCCTACGGACCGTACTCGGCTTCGGCAACTGGTGGAAATGGTTGGGCTCGTGACTTTTTGGCTGGTGTTCTTACCCTCCCGGCGACACCCTTCTACACCAACATCGGCCGGGAGAAAGATATGAACCTCCAATACGCGTCGACGATTCTGTTTTGCATTTCGGTCGTTTTGGTCATCGCCGTGTACGTCATCTACTGGAAAGGGCCAGTACTGCGCAAGCGGTCGCCCTTCGCCCAAAGCTTGGCCCAGGGCACCGCTGAAGTCGGTGGTCATCACCTCAGCCAAATCCACTCGCATCGCCCATCGACCGCGGGAGGCAACACACGGCCACAGACAGCAACGACAGTATCTCGTCCACCCACTGCGCCAACCCGGGAAGTTATGCAGAAGCGTCCGGGTGATCGCATGTCTGCCTCGCGACACAATTCGTACTACTCTGCACAACAGGCTGCGAGTCGGCGCCAAAGCCGACAGGCCAGCCGAAACCCCAGCAGGCGGGGCAGTCTCGAGCATCATCGGAAATCTGTTGAAAGCGAGGAGGGCGTTTCGCACCATCACCTTCACCATCGCCTGCAGAACCTGAACACCATTGCCTCGAACCAGCAGCCGTAGGAGGTTGTCATCGAGGAGTACTAAGGTGTATTAGAGGAGAATACCGCTGCTGCCGTGTAACTGGAGGGATAGAGTTGTACATAATATATATTAACCGTAAAAAAATATGAACATATAAAGGTAGTATTGGGAGCACAGCAGAGCAATGGGAAGATATTACAATGCATCCTTGGTTGACAGAGAAAGTTGGGCGACTCTTCGTGTCTTTATTTTCCCACGACCTCGGCGGCTTTCTCACATTGTCACCCAGGACTGAAACGTCGGAACGACATTCCATTGGGCGTTCTTTTGAGGGTTTTTTTCTCACTCTGCTAAGGGAATTCCTCATCACGAGATTTTCGGGGCGGTTTAGGTTCCGTCGACTTTGATTGGTAGAATAGGTGTATATTCCATACCTACTGCTACATTGATGAATGAATAAACCATTGTTCATAAAAATTTCCGATTCAATTTCATACTTGCCGGCATGTGCATGCATATAAAGATACCTACACGACCTACCTGATGCTCTGGGCCTACTACAAACCAAGTCTTATATCTGCGAAGCAACGTTGCCCAGAACCCACGGCATAGAAACTTGTAAGCTACAATAGTAATGAATGAGAAACATGATACTCGGATTATGTCTCTACATGAAAATTACTGGGCTTTTACACTGACTGTTTCAATTGTTAATGGAATTTTTCTATCTAGGGATTAATCTAACCTGGTCTAGACGATCGAATTATACACACTTTTTGGTCCTTACCTCGTGCCTGAGCGAAGTGGATAAAGAGCTTCTAGCCACCAGAGATCGCGGTTTGCCCAAGTAGGAGTACCGAAAAGTAACACCGAAAAAAAAGTGATCACGATCTAGGAAAATTTATCGGGGACGGGCATTACTTGATTACTAGATTACTGGGGCTTTCATGGTTCCACAGTGGTCTATTACATTACAGTACCATGTAATCTCTCAGATCCAGTGTACGCCATATAAATGGATTATTAGCACCCACATGTGTGGATAATGGAGACAAACCCCATCCCCAGTTTCACGAGACAGATGAATATCACCGAATCTCCAGTTCGCATCCGGGGGATAATGGCACCACAGTGTCTATTGCTATCGATTCATACTAATACGTTTAAATACGTCATACGCTGTATTTGCATGTCAAGGGTAAAAAACAACTATCATAGCCTCGTGCTACCTCTCCAATTCGATATTTTGGAGGCTGCTCCGCCGAAATTATGAAGTCGTTCCCCCATAAGATACGCTTCATCCCTTATTCGGACTTGCCATCCTTCAAATATGCGATAAATTCTTCGTGCCATAAGCAGCCCAACCCAGAACAGTGCCATGGCTGGGTAAGCAAGGCGGAAAATCAGGACTCGTTGTTCGTGGGAAATTCCTGCATCGATATCCAAAGCATGGTGTAAGACGGCCCACGCAACGGTCGGCGGCATAACAATCATGATAAATGACGCTATGGCCCCCGGGATGACAAATGCGCGCGTCAAAACGCCAATATCGGGCTCTAGCCAGCCGCGACGAAGGACAGCTCGCACGGCATGCGCAGGTCTACCGCCATATAATGTCAAAGCTCGAGAACCGAGCTTAAGGTACAATATACCCAGAGTCCAAGCCTGTATAACTCGTATGGTGTGACCTTCCCGTAAGCCATCGAACCGCTTAGCGGTTTCCGTCCCGACGGGATACATGTACGTGTGTAATGGAATTAGTAAGTAAAGCTCGACTAAAAGCGTGATGAGGAGTGGGAAGGCGAGGAGCAGAACTACGTAAGTGTACATCAAACGGCTTGTGTGAACGGCAAATTGAATAGCGCGCTGGATGGCGTGACGATCCAATATCGAGTCCACCGTCGATACTACCCAGGCCCTCAGCTTCCCAAGCATAGAACTTAAGTGGAAGACAAAATAACCCAGAGAGCCTAGAATGTATATCCCGATGCTGAAGGCGTATATGTCGTTTGTTCGTATGTGGGATGGGATGAGAACTTTGAACATCCGGCGACCGAATACCAGCGGCACGATCGTGAAACCGACTCCAGTAATCGCCGCAAATATCCATATGAAGAAGATAAACAGAAAGACGCGTGCGCGGAACCAGGGAGGTACATAGACGAACTGGTAGTTATCGCCCGAATAGAGATCCGTTTCTGGCCTATCTGGCTTACCGTCCTTCCTGATATCGTGCTCCGATACATCAAGGAACACCGACTGACCCTTTGGAATTTTGACTTGATCCGATGCCGGAGATCGCACGAAGCGTCCATTAGGAATTAGCTGCCCAGACTCGACTAGATGTTTCTTCCTCGCATCTAGTTGACCCATTTCATCAACCGGAATCCTCGAAATAGGCTTCGCTTTGCCTCCTCTAAACGCATCATTCCATGTCTTCGGCCCAACTTCATTTTGGTCGTCAACTTCAAGGAAGAATCGATACCACCAAGGAAAGTTTTGATACGGGGAGTTTGCAGCCAAAGCCAACACACCCTCTTCATCTACGCGCCGCTCCCCAAAGAGGAACCATGTTAGCCGTAAAGTCCTGGCGCACTTACGGAACCACCACGTATACATAGCATGAAGGCCATCGCTGGGTTTAAAAAACCTCACAGCGAGAGGCATCAAGAAGTTATAGAAGAGGAGATCGATAGGAAACTCCAGGACAGGTTCGTTGGATGAATAATGAATAGGAAGGACGTTGGGCAGAGCGAGAGATAAGCCCCACACCACGCCTCCGAGGCAAATCACGACGAGTGCTCCGTAGACGAATGCCGAAAATAATATCTTACGGAGCTGCGTAGTGACATTCCTCTCGAGGACATCACGAACAGGATGGAATTCGGGGTCGTCAGGATCACGAATGAAGTCTGTAACATGTTAGAATTGACAGATAAGACCGTAAAAAGGACTTACATAAAACGCCCTTTCGCATGATCTTGCGGCACATGGAAACAAACAAGGCGAAATGGAACATGTAACCCGTACCAACAAACCAATGAACGAAGATAGAGGTGAGGGGGTAATTGTAGGTGAATAGTAGACGAGATCGGACGCCTGTCCCCTCGAATAGCGGAAGTAGGGCGAAGTCCAATAACAGACCACAATACAAAGGAAATATGAGCATTTCTATGCTAATGATCAGGATTACCTTCATCACACCACTAGCCTGATTCAGCGCATCGATAGCCGAGGCCTCCCACTCTTGGCCGGTCTGTCCCGTGGAGAAAGGCATTCCTCGAGCAAGGTAGAGCCCGGCGATGACAGACACGGAAACGTACCCGGCGATAATAGCCCACGTCCTATCATTCGCATCCCAGTAGGCGAGACTAGGATTCATCGATGATGTTTCGGAAAGGTTGAGATTCAACATCCACGATCCAGGTTGGGTAACCACGCCGGGAATAGACTTAAGCAGCTGGAACACAGCAGGGGCCAAAATGGTAATGAAAGACTTAGCCTGGTCCCATTTTGCCAAATAGTTACCACCAAAGAGATATGCAATGAGGCGACCCGTGGATGAAAGAGCGTATTGGATATCGCTCTTGACCGTCAAGAGAGCCTCATGGCTGATGACTGAAAAGTTACGCACCTCACTGACCGAGATTAACGGCATCTCGGACATGAAACTAGTCATAATACGATCGAGGGCGCTCGCGGCAACGTGTCTTGTGTCGATTTTTAGGCTGTGCATCAATTGCTTCCCTTGCTCCAATCGAAGAAGTACCCGAGCCCATTCGAGTAAGGTAAAGGCGACCGTAGAAGTGTAGCCGACAACTAGTAAAACACCATCCTGTACGAACTTGGAGATGCCAAAGACAATACGGAGTAGACGTGTCGGATTCGCAATAATCCAGACAGACACACGACCAATGTTATAAGGGAGGAATACGCAGAGAAATATGGAGATTGATACGAGAAAGGCGCAGAAGATGGCGTTTTGGAATAGACCAGCAACTGGGCCGCGCATTCCGATTAATTCCATAATTCCTTCAAAATCTTCAGCGTCGTCCACAGCTTCGGGATCGAGGCCAGCTGCGACGGCGGCTTCAACGACATCTGGGGCCATATTAACCTCGCCATCATCTTCCCTTTCGATATCATGGTCGTTTTCGAAAAATGGAGCATTTTGATTGTCGCCAAAAATGTCAACAGCCTCCTCGGGTTCGACGTCGTCTGCAGGACCAATTTCGACATTTCCCCACATGAAATCAGCGACGCGGCCGACGATGCCACCAGCAGGCCGAATCGCAGGACCAGCAGGCTCATGGTCGTGACCTTGCCCATTAATCCCGACAGGATGCTCGACGCGGCCATCTTGTGTTGGACCATACACTATGACCCCACTCTCTACCTCGCGTTCTGTATCCTCTGGAATGCTAAAGCCCGTTTGTGAGAATTCAAGACCTTGAGCTTCACTACCAACAACGTTGCTATTAGGGGCGCTCGGCTCTGATGTCCTAGGATCATGTGTATGCTCGTATGGATCTACAACTAGTGGCCTAGGGTGAAAAATCGAAGTAGCAGAATTTGAATCAGTCGCTCTTAACGGCTCATCGGGGGATACGTCTGATGTATCAGAGGGTAATTTGGAGAAAGACCAGTTATTGTTTGCGAGCGGATTGATTTTTGTCGGGGGCTGTGGGCCGTCTGAAATAGCCCGGCGTCTCGTCACGGCCGCCATGAGCGAAGACGATACATCCTCATCCTCTTTATCGTCATCGCTGCAAATCTTATCATCCTCGTTAAGAGGGGAATGTGGTGGGGCATCACCAAATTCACCTCCCCATGACGTCCAAGAATCGCTCTCGTTTGGGAGAGTCTGAATTTCCTTGCCCTTTCCCTTATCACGAGAGCCCTGACTAGCCACACCATCTCCATCATCATGTTCCGCCCATGCCCAACTTGATGTGTCGCTACTTGTCCTTTCGGCTCGAGAAGAATCCGACCGAATAAGAGATTGGCTCGAGCGACGTTCGGGTTGGGCGATTGCTGTGTAATCCCCAACATCATCTCCAGCGTCTGTATTACTGGCAGCCTTTCCAGTAGTCGCCATTGATTGCGTAACACGGGTCCAGTATCGCATGCGGTCTTCGAGCCCTTCGTCTCGAATAACCTGAAGTATTTTATCTTGATCTCCGCCCGCTTCCCGATATATCCGCAGATATTCCTTGACTGTACTCTGCGATGTAGCCTCTCCATCTTCTAGACTATTAACCCGATCGAAACTGTTTGAAAGCGCTTCATCGACGAAACTTTGCCGTGACGTACCGGCCTCGGTTCCTTCGCTCCATTCTGCAGCACGAACATCGTGGCTCGGCAATGTAGCACGACCGCGGTTCTCTTGCCATTCGTCTTGTTTAGTTTCGGCATCAACTCTGGTCGCACGACGTCGAAATTCGGCGATGGGCCTTTGACGAGGATCCTGTGGGCCCATAGCATCTCGCGCACGGTTTGCGTGGTACATCTCTTCCTGATCACCGTTAGGTGCTCCTACCAAGTCACCTCGAAAACTGACAGATTCGTCATCCGAATCTCCATCCTCGTTATCCTCAATCTGCGGATGGCGTGGCACGGGGTCATTGACGAGACCAACCAGGGGAGGCGCTTCGTTTTCCGCCGCTGCAAAAGCGGCGCGCATGTTTATTTCTGGCTGCTGCTGCACCACGTAGTCTCTAACCAGAATAATCAAAATGAAACACACAATAACAAGTAAAGTGATAATCTGGCCTTCGAGTATAGCAATAATGGTCCGGTTGATAGTAGGATGCCGTGTGAAATTCTTCAAGATGGCAACATCGCTTAGAAGAGAGGACGGGCGATGAATGGTCTGCGAGATGGTAACGTGGTTGACATGCGTCACATTTAAAAATTCTTTGCCGATCGAGGATGGTTTGTCGGTGGTAGTAGATAGACCTAACAAAGTAGCAAGCCACGATGAAGGTGCGGCATTGACAGGCCTCGAAAGAGTCTTCAATAAGCTAGACAGGGGGATTTTCTCGATGAGATCTCGTACGCTCGCAGCAGTGGTCGTAGCAGGTAGCAGAGGAGTCGAAGAGCACGTGGTAGTGCCTGTGACGGAGAAAGAAGCAGATATATCACCCCGGTTCAATGAACTGTTGTTACGAACGTTGAAGCCGGGTGTGTTAGGACCAAACCCTTCGTCGCTAATCCAGAATAAGAAAGACCAAACCGAGCGCATGAGATACGGGAGCCAACCCAGCCATACGCTGATGACCAAGAGGGCTCTCAACCAGACTAGCACATTTCGAAACAGATATTTGGCCATATGGGTGATGAAAATGTGGAAGGGCAAGCGCTTCGGCATATCCGGCGAATATAGCTTGGTGAATCGGAACGGTGTCTTGCAAAGCTCGCAGTGTTTCTTCTGTGAATGCGATAGCCATTCCATCAGGCAATCCTGATGAACGTATTTGATGCTGCCGCTGCATTTGCAAGGGTAGAAAAGCGGCTCGTCGGTAGTACCCTCTCCCCTACATATTCGACAGGTATCGGGATCGACGGAGGTGTCGTTGCCTGGAAGCCTAGCTCCAAGCGCGGAAGATTCAGGTATAGCATCGGATTTTGCTGCGGACTGTCGCCGCCGCTCGATCGTATTAGGGAATTCGGGATTAGGCTCCATGGCGGGCCAGACGGAGTTAACCTGAGATCGAGAGGAATCGAGGTAAGTCGGCGGTGAGTTACGAGATAATATTATGATGATCAGAACACAGAAATCTTGCCCAAAGGGCTTCCGTCTCGGGTTCCGACCATGGGATTATTGTGTCGACGTAGGTACGCAAAATGGGATTGGTGATGGTGGTCGTGAGGGTGGTCAGTGGTCGGTGGGTGTCAACTAGGTGTGGATAGTTGAGAATATTTATTAGGAAAATATCGGTTTCGTTTGGATAATAGCGCAACGTGCGTACCGTGGGGTGCGACTAATTAGAAACATCTATCTGAAAGTTGCTTTGCGAAGAAGTCAGAACGCTGTCAATTTCTTGAAAGCAAAAGGGAAGGGAAAGAAAAGAGTTGCCTACTTAACTCTTTGTATCAATGTTAATACGTTAAATGATTAAGTGGATGTTACTTCGGCGTGGTGCATGACGATATGATAGGCAAGGTAACTGTACCTAGGTATGTATATGTATACATGGGGAGAACCTTAGATGGCAATTGATTGGCTGATTGAGGTGGTAGCGTTGTAGGTAGACTCAGCGTTACTAGGTAATTACAGTGACTCGGAGTACCTAATAATTGTTGGGCGGTCATCGGAACGAAAGAAAGCCGATACTTGGGTAAACGTAAATCATCAATCTACTACGTACGTAGCTTCCAAGTTGTACAGAATTACGTAATCTTCCAAGATACAACATCTCAATTTTCTCTTCGGTGGTTTTAGCGCAATGGCAGTCCTAATTGCCCATGCCATTCTAGCGAGATCGTTCTTGACACTTCGATCTCTCCCAGTCTTAACCGCGAAATCTCATTTAATCTATGTAATTACCTGGATATCTACCAAGGTATACAAGTAAATTTTTCTTACACTGTTCCTTTCTTAGTTTTTCCACGATGTTCTCGTTCTAGATTGTCGTCGTCTTGAATAGGCTTCTATTCAACTTTCCCTTACCGTCCGAAGCGGAAGCTGCTCACGTCGCAGAAACCTTAGCCTTAGAAAAACCGCTGGCGGTAAAGGAAGATGTATCTAACGACACGGGTAGTAAATTAGTTCTAGGTACAATCTAGATCACTATTTATATAAGCGTCGGTGTTAAAAACCTTTTCACCACGTCGTTTCACCGATCCTTTCGTCCGTCATAACTAACGACTTCCCATATAAACCTCCTTCGATAACTAAAGTCACTTCGACTTTTGAACCAGCCTTTCTTTAGGCTTGCCGCTTACATCATCAACATCTTCGTCCTCAACGTCGTCCCGTGAGCGCTTCTTGCCCTTAGGTTTGCCCTTTCTTTCCGAAAAGCTAGCTTTCCTCGAAGTGGCCAGCGAGGAGATACGGTCGTCGGTCTTCATCGACTTCGGTGTCGGCTTCGTTGTCTTTAGCGCCACGACTTTCTATTGAAAGGCGTCTGACTTGGCGACTTCCTTGGCCTTTTAAGCCACGGGCTCGTCAATCGTCTTTTCGAGGTCCGGCATGACGATGTCGACCACTCGCTTCTGTACGTCCGCGGTGGCGTCGTCCTTGGGAATGGTCTTGGCGCCTTCGCTAGCGTCGTGTCCTCCAGATTGGTAGGGTTCCCCTTCGTCGACGTCGTCTCAGTTAGCTTAGCAGAATCCTCCTTGGCAGTGAGCGTCTTAACGATGACGGGATCATCGATCTTCTTGTCTAAGTCGGTTTTAATAGCGTCGACGACTCACTTCTAAACAACGACAACGACGTCATCCTTGGGCTCCGACTTCTCGCGCAAGAGTTCGGAACCTCCGCCGGAGGCGAGGAACGAGCGGGTACGGTGGACGACGACCTTTTCCAACTTATTGTTCAGACTCGTCGACGTCTTGGATGTCGGTCCTGGCGTCGACCATAGCCCGCTGTAGGCCTTTCCATAGCTGACCGACGACGTTTAAGAGAATATCAGACATCTTCTTGCCGACGGTGGACGATGCCAAGGCCTTCATCTTGTCGTCGTCGAACCATTCGGTATCGTCTGGGCCCTAAGTATGGGGTAGGCGATAAAGATCCCTCAGCAAGTCGTTGAGCATCCCCTCTCTTCTTGGCATAATCGTTCTCGTTAACTCTATTCTTCACTCGCACGTCGGTTTAATATTACAGTATTTAGATAAGCATCAAATCGACGATCTTCTTTTTAAAATCAAAATTTAAAAAAAAAAACAACGGGAATAATAATAAGAATATGAATATGAAGAATATGAAAAAAAAAAAAATATTTAATTAATCGGAAGCGGCGGTAGCGGAAGAGTCTTAATGCCATAAAATAATTTTTTTACCGTTATAAGTGGTAAAGGATACGTTGTGTGAGTTGTATACCCGATATATTAACTATTATACTAGTTAATAATTTATAAAGGAAGCCTTAATACGTATATACACCACCGATATTATTATATACAGTGCCACCTCAAGACAGTCTCCTAGCCCTACCTTAATAATATGTCAGTCCCAATCCATGATCCTGGCTACTACAACGATATCCTTCCCATGGATAACGAAATCAAACAACGAGTACCGGAAAATAAAACACGAGATATGGTATCATATCATTTTGATATGATGGTAGAGAAAGGGGGAAGAGCGGTGAGTTTATTTTCGTTAGCGTTTGTTAAGTTCGTTGCCCGACGAGGGGCTGCTACGCTTTCTCGAATCTTGTCGTCCGTCTGGGGCGAACATGTTGAAGAACCGGTTAGTCGTACCACGAGGCGTGTCGTGGGAATCCATAGAGGATTCGGAAGACGAGTCGCTAATGACAGGCATGGTGGGTAAGGTGGGGGTGGTATTGGGGTTTGCGGTATAGATGTCGCCTAGACGTTCGACTAGGCATTTTACTTGGGTCTTTAAGCGACCAACTTCTTCCTCTAGGGATCTATGGGCCGTCTTTGACGCGGCCGACTCTACTTTGCGCCCTAGAGATTCCACCGTGTGTTGTAGGGACGCGGCGTCGATGCATAGATTGTCAATGCGCTGGTTGGTGTATTTGACGGCTTTGACTTGGTTGCTTATGAGGTTTGTTATCGTTGTGGCGACGTCGGACATCTTCTTGTCAAACGATTCCATGTAGATATCTAACTTGTCGTCGTCGTTGCCCCACTCTAAATCCTCTCGGCAGTATGATTCCACCGGTCGGCTCACTTGCTCGAAAAGCGTGTGAAGATGTTCCATCCCCTCCTCTCTCAGGTCATCCTGTTCTAAAGACGACGTTTTTAATTGCGCGGAGACTTTGGTAAGTCATTCCATCCCCGAACTAGAACTCGTGTTATTGGAGTGATCAACAACACCGTCGTCGGGTCGGCCTTCGGGTCGATCGTCTGGTCAAGCGACGATGACGGATTCGTCATCCCACCAATCGGAGTCACCAGGCGATGGCGGTGTGTCTAAGCGATCGGCGTACGGTTATACCGAACGGGATAACTGCTCGTCTCTAGTAGGTGCTGGTGCACCGGGTTGAGCGACGACGGCCGGTTCCCCATCCTATGAATCCGAGTCGCCAGAAGATGGTGGTGTATCTGAGCGATCGTCGTGCGAGGATTCCGTATCGGATAGTTCCTCTCTTCTACGACGCTGTACCTCTTCGATACCTGGGGCGAGCTCGTCTCATGCGAAGGGGATTGGCCCTCTGGGGTGTTGGGGTCGTACAGAAGGTAGGTTAAGTTACCGTCTTCATTATCGCCATAGGCACGGAGAGCCTCCAGGCTTCCTCTGGTCGGTACATAATAAGATAGACGATTGCAGTCAGCCGACGTCAACTTCATATCAATTTCGAAGTGCAGGAAGATGTTGAGACAGAGATTATCTTCGCAGTAAAGAGTACTGTCTTTAACACCCAAGCCAGGTGTCGCCCAAGCCGGGATTCATGTCGTCCACGTCGCACTCCTCGGGTTCGTCCTCCTCGGCTACCGGTAAGGTATAGTAGCCGTGGTCGCGCGGCGGGTGGTGTCGCCCACAAGCCTCGTACGCTTCTCGGTACGTGTCGTAACGAATACCTTCTACCACATTGACGTCGTCCCAGGAGCGACGAAACGGGTGGTGCAGCAACATCTTGACGCGACACCAATCTTCCCTCTGCGTGGCGTACTTGTATTTTGGAAAATACGACAGAACCCTAGGCGAAGCTCGCGGGTGGTGACTAGGTGGTTGCTACGTCCACAAATACAAGGACAACCACTCAAAGTAGGTAACGTCGTCGAGCGAAGCGATCTCGGGTCTCTCCATGTACCTTCTGACGCGAGACGCCCTGGTTGATGTGACCACCCTGGGCGACGAACGGACGAGGTTGCTGCTCGAAAGGACGACAATCCAAGTATAAAGATTCCCTAGACGACTGCTGAAGGGGAAGACGACACAGGACTCTTGCGCGGAGAGGTCGTGTTCGGCGACGAGTTTATTGAGTAGACGAGACACCAACGACAAGGTAGGAGAACGATCGCTGATACCCGGCAAGACTTCCGATACTAGCTCCTCGTACGATTTTGAAAGGCCAAGAACGTCTCGTATCGTTTATTCTGCGACTTATCTACCGCGGCGTCGTCGCGAAGGATTCGAGGATAATAAAACCGACATGACATATCCTTTAGCAAGGTACCGACGGCGGCGAGACGATACAAGACGGATTAGGTAGCGTCGGTAACTAAATTTCGGTTCGCCATTACGAGTGGTTTCGTCTTTCTTTGCGCCTGCTTTCAAACGAAAACAATACGATAAACTGCAGGCGTGGGTCTGGCAACGAGCCAGGAGCCGAGACAAAAACTCAAACGACGTGTTACGCTCGTTGGGAGGTAAGACTAGTGGATCGGGTCCCTTCTCTCGGAAACGATCGGGCTGCACGGCGGAAACGTGGTTCGACTAGAACGACGTAAACTCCCGGTGAGATCGTTCGTCTTCCGGATCAAACTTGGGCGCTCCTTCGTACCAGATGAACCTGTGATTGTGGATAGCGTCTCAAGTTTGCCATTCGAACCGGTTCCAATAGTCTACAACGCGAAATTTGGGGCTGATGACGTGCTTCATGAATTCCGCAAACGAATTTTGAACCAGTATGCGATGATGTGCGGACGGAGACGATGATTTTCCTTGGCGATTCGCAACTTTCCCTTCTCGTCGGCTTGCTTCCACGCTTCGTAGGTAGGCATACGTTTTTGCAGGTCGTGCCATTGCAGATCGGCTGCGGTGAACGTTAGAAACAAGGACGGCGCACCCAAGGCGTCGCAGAACGATTCAAAGTTCTGGTGACGACCTTTCCAGTACGGACGGGTTCCTCGTACGCTTGAGGCGTACCGTACGATCGAGTTGAGCAGGGCGTTCGACTCGGCGGCGCGGACGTCGTCTGCTGTGGGTTCCTTGTGCTCTTGATCGCCCGGGGATAGACGAATCAAGGTCGTAAGAGTCGAGGAATGGGAGTAGAATAGAAGAATTAAGGGGCAGTCGAGCGACGAGGAGTGGTAGAATGGACGAATCGGAGTAGAATAGAGTCGAAGGCGTGAGAAGGCAGCCCAGCTGTCGAAAGGGAGGATACTAAACGTACCAAACGAACAAGTTAATAAAATGGTACCCATGATAGTAACCGACGATGAGATTAATCTAAACGCGAGAGAGGGGAGGGGAGAACATACCTAAATATCGACGACGAAGCCACCCCTGAGGCGGAAATCCGTGGTGGGTTGTTTGAGAGTAGGAGATGTGAACGAGATGCCGATAAGTGGGCGATGATGGCGATGAAGAGTTGTCGACAAACAGGAGACGTCCATTAGTGGATGAATAAGACGTCGATAGACAAAAGTGAGCGAGGAGGAGAACGATGAAGAAAGTGGATGATAGTTAAAGTAGAAGTGAAGTAGATGACAGTCGAAGTGGAAGTGAGGTTGACGATGAAGGATGAAAGATGAGAAGTGGATGAGAAGCAAAGGATCTGAAGAGATTGAGAGAAGAGACAAAACCAAGCGAGATTAAATAGGTCCGTCGTATGACTTATAGTTTCATTATGAGTTAAAGTTGCCGATTTAATTTGAAAATAATAGGTTTAATAGTTGGAGGTTGAGTTTATCGTACGATATTACAACTATTGTAAGTTTATTAGTCGGTTTCCATTTAACATCAGTTGACCGATGTCGAATTTATTAATCGACTTCTACTTAAAGTTATTATAATATGAAAGCTTCCATCGGTTTAATTATTCGACTAAGTCGACATGTTTATTTAATTAGGTTATTCGATTAAGTTAACGATTTATCATATGAGTCGACAAATGGTTTAATAGATTGTTTCCGAGTAAGTTTTATTAAAATAAATGAGTTTATATCCATCGTACCCGACCTTTTTATTACGTAAAAACAAACTCATGTGTTTTTTATACGATATCGTCGAGTTAAATAATATTCATAAACAACATGTGATATCGTAAGGGGGGAAAACTTAAAAAGAAACGATGATTATTTATATATGTAGGACTACTCGGTCGTTTTACGATGATCCTTTCTTATTTTCCTTTCTATTCTTTATTATTTTTACTACGAAATGACTTGTTATGTACATCGAATTGTTCGACATATTTCTCTACTTAACTGTTTTCAATTCTTGATTCGAATGATGGTTGCGTTAGGTTATTTCAGATGAAGAAAATGGGCTTTCTGTCAGAAAAGGGGTACTTTTTATCGGAAAAGGGGCTACCACTTCACTACGACTATGGTCATTCACACAACCTCTAAGGTCCATGTAATCCGTTTATACGTACCCGAGTAAATAGATATCTATATATATCGTACGACATGTTTAATGTTTACGACTGTTCTATTTGATGTTTTTTATTACTATGTTCGACGGTACCTCTCGACGTTTTTAATTCGCTCGACCTTATTATTAAATGTTTATTAAGACATTAACTTTGGAGTTCCCAACCGATAAAACAACTTTTCATCATGTGATTATTTCTAAGACGTTTAAGTGTCAGAGTATAAGAATTGATCTAAATCGTAAATGATTGAAAAGATACCTAAGTATTCAACGAAACACAGGTATATTACGTTTTATTTGACGATCATCTCGATTCATACGTCGATTTTACAACTTGATCCATCATCATCTTATTTAATATGTCTATAATCACAACGTTGGTGGTTGATTTTACACCCCTTACAACCCCTATTCGCTCGTAGGCGACTACATCATAGGGCAACTCACTAAAGGAAGTCGTTGGATATATACCCAACTTTAAGGATATCGATTTTATAAACGTCTGTAACATTAACCGGTAAGCAGTACCGTCGAGTCTTGGGTTTTTATCACGACGCATTTACCACGACACTTGTACCACAACGCTTTTACGATTATCATTGGTTTATATGTACAAGGTGACATGTCATGGGATGTATCGGCAAGACTTCTCATAGCCTTAAACGACTCCTATCACTGACATATGGCCATTATCGTCGTCAGTGTACACTTAAACTCTTTAATGTTGTCGACGACATGAGTTCTAAGGGTTCCGAGGTTATGTACATGATGGTCCATGTTATAGTCACACTTTCTTTACACAATAATATAACTAAGCCCTTGTAATAGGCCTTACCACGACCATCATATCATGGCGATTCTACAATGGCGATCCTATCACGACGACCATTACGACGATTATTACGACGGCTCTATTACGACTATCTTATGACAATTATGACTACTTTCTTATCATCATAATATATGACTCCATTTATGACTTAGACTATACTTTTATATAAAGACGATGTTTTGGTACCTAGGTAATGATGATCATACGTTATTATATAACTGGTATTATCAAATAAGTAAAATTAGGACTCATGAAACCAGACACTAGTCCGTCGTTTAACGTCGCTTCTATAATCCAACCTTGTTTTTATTATTCGGCGTCGCTCCCGTCATATAGTGTCGCTTTCATTACATGATGTCGTTCTTATCATCCGACTTCCCTCTTACCCGATGTCGCTTCCCATCTGATGTTGCCCTTGTCATCTAGGATTATTTTTAATATTCGACGTCGCTTCTATTACCTAACGTCGTTTTCATCATCCGACGTTGTTTACATCGTTTAACATTGCTTCCATTTCATAATGTCGGCCTTATTATTTAACATCGCCCCTATTATACGATATCGCCTTTATTACATGACGTCGTTCTTAATTAATTTTTTATAATATAAAATAGAAATTTTTAAAGCATCATTTTAAACTCCATTGACATGCATACTGTCTTATTACTTAAAGTTGTTCCTTATTTAATGTTACCGTTCGACGTTAACCTGGTATTAGAAGACATATCATATATATAAGAATATATAATGTATTTAAAATCGATTCTCAGTTATAATTGGTATCTATCATTAACAGATCCCGGATATGACAGAACCGTCATTCCCAAACCACGAATCTCCTACCGAACCAATTGACGAACCCAACATAAGGAACCCGACGGACAATATAAAACATGACGAATCTAACACGACGTATCAATCTCGAAGACTATCAAATGCAAGGAATAATACCGTGTCCAAGACTTCTGTAACGGAACAAGATCATTTCCAAATGAATATACACGTACTTGAGATCATAGAAATTTGACATTACAATTTGACTCATCTCATCGCTTAGATAAAACGAAGATGGACGATTGAAAACAGTCTACTTGAAGGTAACCTCAAAGCAAGTTTATATAAAGCCGACCCAACTTTGCGTAGCCTTCCAGTTCCAGGTTCGGTTCTGTCGGCGCTTGTTTGGGATCCGGAACAGCCTTTGCTATACGTCATATACGATATATGTACGATGACGAAATAGTCAAATATGCTTATCTAATTAAAAATGGAAGTGGCACGTTAATATAGATACTTCCAAGGTTACCTACCTAGTAGGTACATGTAGGTATGTATTAAAAGACCCCACTCTTATCGATGTATCTATACCTAGGAAGGTACCTACATACATGTACATATGTATGTAATCATCTCCATGCACATTTTGGAATTTGCTATTCACCTACTCACCATCATCCTATCAACTTTATTTTCAGATTCATTTGATCATCTTCCTAAATACCTAAAATTCATCTCGATCCTATTTTTAATAGCAACAGTATCAATCTAAAAAATAAAAGGAGGAAGAAACTACCCAAAGAAAGGATATTAAATCGTTATCATATATTGCATTATCCCTTGGTTGCCTACCTTTTTTTCGTACTTGTTGCAGGGAGTCGAAACGTCAGCCTTAGCTCCTGGCTCCTCGACCATCACACAAAACATCGTCAAAGCTCCTTCTAACCTTGGAACCCTTCTGCCCTTCTAACCCGTACCCGCTTTATACTATTCCTTCTATTACATACATGTATTCTGCTAATTTCTGAAATATCTACCCAACATCTACGCTACATCTTTTTGGCCTTGGCCGTCCACCTCACGGTTTATTACTACTCTCCGTATGGAGTGGCGGACTCGATGCTAATCTAAAAACGCCAGGACTGTATTTCCATCCCGTCTACCCCGGTCGGTTTCACCTGTCATCGCGTCTCAATTTATATCGCAACACCCATCATTCTTGCTGGTCGGCGTGTCAACTTGTCAAACTATCCAACCTTACTCTCATGCAAAGAGTTATCGTAGCTTCGATTAAGCTAGTACTACCATGGCCGTAGGAGACAAAAAATCCAAACCAGGCACGAATGGTTCCTTGAAGGGAGTCAACGGTGTCAATGGAGTCAACGGTATAAATGGACATACTGTAACTCCCAGGCGGAGGAATGCCGAACTGAAAAGGAAGAGCTTCTTTACTTGGGGCTTTAGCATTATCGCAAGGTAAACAATACGTACTACATACACCCCCACGCTGAATGCTGATTCGTCTTTTATTCACAGGCTGTTGACGTGGTACTCCATCTTCACCCTTCTCTTCCGATGCCCCCTTACTCTCGATGAGTGCACCAACGCGACCCCCAAGATCTGCAAACCCTACTTCCGCGTCAAATCTGCTGTAGCACCACACGTTATACCATATTACGATGCTTACGCCGCTCCCTACATTGATGTCGCGAAGCCCTACTACGACACTATCGACCGAATCATCATCACCCCTACGCGAACATACGCCGTCAAGTACGGTGGCCCAAAGGTTTCCCAGGCTCAAGCATTCGGTCAAGCGAAATGGGAGGAAAACGTTCAGCCCGAATTAAGCAAATATCAGGCCTTGGCGAAGACTCGATACGATCAAAGTGTTGCGCCTCACATCGAAAGTGTTGCAACTGTTGTGTCGCCGTATTATGACATCGCTCGAACTAATGCGCTACAGACCTATCACGAGTTGCTCCTTCCAGCCTATCTGTTCGTACAACCCTACGCTGCGCAAGGTTACGATGCCGCTTATTCATTTACCACCGATACTGCCATTCCTTCGACCGTGTGGGCTTGGAATAAGACGTATGCCTTTTTAGATGCTACCGTTTGGCCCCATGTGCGGGACGTCTACGTCATGAAGGTCGAGCCACAGCTAGTAAGAATTGGTCAAAGGCTAGGGAGGTATAACGAAAATAAGGTCAAGCCAAATATTGAAACTATCGAGGAAACGCATTCGTAAGCAGACCCTCTTCTCTTCATAGGTGTAATGTATATGCTAACTGCCCCATGGTTCCATTCCCAAGTCTAGTTTCGCAAAGCCAACGACTCCTACCTCCCAGAGTGTAGTCGAACCCGAGCCCGAGCCCGAATCTCAACCCCCCGCGAGCGAAAAAGGTTCCGAAACCCCCCAAGCGCCGCTCGAGATGAAAGTTGAGCAGAAGGGGTCACGCACGCCAGAGGAAATACGTGAGCATGCCGCGAAGACTGTTACCGAAGATCTCGAGCTTTGGGAGGGGAAATTTACAAAAGCGGCCGAGGAGGGCGCCGCCGAGATTGAGGATCGCGTCGACGAGATCGCAGCCCGTATGATTGATAGACATGCTAATGGCATGGGCAAGTCTCTGGTCAGACAGCTCAATGAAACCGCAACCACCGAGCTTAATACTCTAAAAAAGTCCATCGTTTCGATCTTGGAAAAGAACGGTAGCGATTCTGAAAGAGACGAGGCTTTAGCTGCTGCTATCAGAGGTGCTGGTCTCAAAATCAAGGAAAAGGCACAGGATATCCGCACTTGGCGCGAGGCATATGACCAAGAAACAGAAATTGCGGTTACCAAAGCCGCCGAGGAACATTATAATATTTTACAAAAAACTCGTGACCTCGCGTTACAAAAGATTGGCATGAAATGGGCATGGATGGAAGGTGTCACCTACAAAGACTGGAAAAAGTACCATGAGCTCAAAACACGTTTCGACGAATGGACGGATGACTTTAAGCTTCTGATCACATCACACCCTGGTTTGTTGGCGGCGCAAGCAGCTGGTGAGGAAATTGAGAACGAGGGCATGAACGTTGCGCAGGTCGCAGCTAGCGAGTTGGCACGATTGAAGCAGATTGCTACCTGGAAGGCCGTAGCCGGCGACTCGAGCGACAATTTCGATAGCGAGATGACCGAATTAGCAGCTATATCCGCAATCCGAGATGCTGCTCAGAGTGCCACTCCGGTGGCTTCATCTGTAGCCGAGAATATTGAAAGTGGTGCCGAGTTTGTCAGCGAAACAGCAAACGAGCAACTTTCTCCAAGCAATGCCGAGACCGTCACGGTATCCCTCTCCGAAGCAGAGTCAGAAGAGGCCAGACAGTCTTCACTTGCGTCTACGCCCACCGACACCACAAGCGAGTCAACATCAGCCGCTGCTGTTGCTGATTCCGATGAGCCGCTACCTTCGTCCGACCCAGTTAATGGTCCAGAGCAGGTTCAGGAAACGATTGTTGAAGTGCCGGATGAGCCGACCTTTCCTGTCGAAGAACCTTCCACAATTACCGTCAAATCCGCCCTCTTCGGTGCCGCAGCTCAATCTGTTCCCTCACGACAACCGATTCTCGACGATGAGATTGTTTCCTCCGCATCCAGTGCTGTGTCCGTAGTTCAATCAGAAGTTCCAGCTAGTACCACCTCGGCAGCCCAATCCGTATACACCGCTGCTATCGCAGGTGCTGCGGATCACTATTCACGTGCCATGTCAGTTGTTTCTGCTCAAATTCACGGAGAGCCGAAACCCGTTCACGAAGAAATGTTCAGCTCTGTTTCTAATGCGTACTTCGGTGCTGTAGCCTCGGCTAACTCCAGACTTACTGCCGCGATGACCGCTGCGTCGGAAAGCGTATATGGCACTCCCACTACGAAATGGCTTCCCGGCTTACCGACCGTGCCTTCGGTTGACTGGGAAAGGGTCCAGTCCATTGCCCAGCAAAACCTTGACGACTCCATCAAATGGGCATCAGAGCAGTACGACGCGGCAAAGGTAGCGGTCGGTGCCTCGGAACCGACACCTAGCACGTATCTTGAAGGCGCAGAAAAGCAAGCACAGAAGCTACTCGATCAAGCGAAGCACAACTATCATGCAGGTATAGGTTTGGCGCACGATCGGTATTCCGAATTCCTTTCTGCCGCATCGACTGCCCTAAGCTCATTAACTGCAACACCAACACCAACTAATATCCAAGGGTCTGCCTCATCCGTCGCATCGATAGCTAGCGAATCGGTCGCTTCCGTTGCTTCTGCGGCTAGCGAGAATGCCGAATCCCTAGCATCGTCTGTCGGTGACCTTGCATCCGACTCAACCCAGTTGGCAGAAAAGAATTGGGACGCTCTTGTTAGCCGTGTGAGCTCTCAAGTCTATAGTGCTCCCACGCCCACGCCGTGGTACGAGAACCTTCAGGTGGCAGCTGGTGACGTCGCCTCCGCCGCTAGCGACTATGCCGCATCCGCTACAGCTGCCGCGGCAGGCCAGGTTTCTTCTGTGACGGTCTTGGCGGACGACTATGCCTCTTCTGCTAGCGAAGCCGCAACATCACAGTACTCAGCGATCAGTTCCCTCGTGTCGGAACTAATTATCGGAAGAGAACCGCCGTTTACCGAGTCGGTATATTCGCGTCTCGCCGGAGCATATTCAACCGGCATCGCTTCGGCATCGAGCTTTGCCAGTGTCGCCTCTGACACGGTAGCCAGTGCCGCAAGTGAAGCTAGCGATACGGCTAACTCCGTTGTTGGTGACGCTGCTGATAAGATCAAGGAAACAGTCCAGCACATGAAGGACGAGCTTTAAACGCTAGCACCATCACGAACGCGCGTCCTCTCATAATCACTATTATATCAAAAGGCACCCACGGCAGATGCCAATTCAGGTGTAAAATAATGATAATCACTGCGAGATACTGTTATACGGAATTGATTGGCTTTTCAGGCCAAGGCAATGTTGAGTCAATTTTTCTTTCACTCTTTCGGAATATGGCATATACCCGGAGCGTTTGGACGCGTTGGAATTTCCCTGCCGATTTACATAGTGTTCCCAATTTCTACGTTATATCGACTCTTAGAAATGCTACGTCACTCGTGGCGGTCGCTTATATCAAGTATCACAAACGTGGAGGGGGAGCAATCTTGGTTAGGAAGAGTTATCCGGCCAGTAGTTTCATGGGCCTAAGCGTACGGTGCCTCTATACTGAGAGATGACGATAATGATTTATGGAGGCAACCTGTTATGGATTGTCGAGGGAAAATAAGCTCTAGTGGTACATCAGGGGCTGGGCCGCTGTGGAAAGATGATGGATTTAAGATGTATCAATATGTGTACGACAGTTAGAGGATAAGGCAATATATACAGGGAGTTAAATCAACCGTCTTTTTACTGTCGGATGGTTCGTACGCGCGCGCGATTAGAACACGATTGTCCGACTCGAGATTTTTAGGTAGAGCCTCTCCGATCGAGTTCGATCTCCGTATGGCATGTTCGGCGATGTATTTGGCCGCCACCGCTCCGTTTAGATACGAAAACAGAGCAGTTTCTAGGAAATTTTGCAGCGATCATCATTAACAATCTTCAAACGGCATAAACCTCGTTTCTAGACTTAAAATCTAGACGTACAATCGTCCTAGTGCCACTCGCGTATGTAGCACCGTCTCCCTTTGTCCTTTACAAGTTCAAATCCCTTTTCGTTTCTTAAAAGAGCAAAACGCTAGAAAGCAAAATACCATCCAATTCATGATTTACAAGGTGAATCGGAACGAGGGATGATAATCCCCCATGTTATCAACTTCTTCTTTCGGGTGAGTCAATCGCCCATCTCTTTTGCCTGCATCGCGCATCTTATTCTCCACGAGCAGACCTGCGAAAAGCAGAGACGCTGCAATCGCACCGAACCACATCAGCGCGACAGCAGTACCGTAACCCGTTGGGTAACGCGGAGCTTCGTCCTCACGGAAAATGACTGCGGCTACTATGCCGCAAACATTACCTAGGGCGACTTGGATGGCAGAGGCGAACGATCTTTTCCAATGTCCCGCAACGTTGTTATTGAGCCAGGCGAGAGCAATAGGATTACAGACAAACCCTCCCAAAGACACTAGGAAGACCGCGCCGTACTTAGCCTCGCTCGAGAGGCCACCTTGGCACAGCAAAATTCCGTAGCCGATCGTTGCGATGACGCAGCCCAACATGATAAAGCCATATCGATGCTTGAGCCGGTCCGACAGGTATGACACGGATACCATGCCCACTGCAGATACTGCATAAACAGGGATAGTATGGACTTGAGCGGCGCGAGCCTCCCAACCGAATTCACGCAGGATCGTAGGCATGAAGAAAGTGGTCGCATAACCTGTAGTTCCAACGCCCATGTATATAAAACCGCCAAGCCAGATCTTCCAATCCGTTAAGATGAGCCGATAAGCGTACGTGTTGAGCGTATCCATGCGAACATGACCACCCGTCCCGTCGTCCGCGAGGCGCATCTGCAGCAATTGCTTTTCCTCTGGCGAGAGGAAGTGGCACTTCTCCGGCCAGTCGACGATGAAGAAAATAGATATTATAGCGATGGCAACCGTAGCGGCTCCCTCGATAATAAAGATCCAACGCCATCCACTGAGGCCATTGCGGCCATTGAGACTAGCGATGGCATACGCAAGGAGCTGGAGGTGTTAACACTATCGAAGAAGTTTCGGGACGAAATACAAATGCACTTGGATTGACTGACTTACCCCTCCAAAGGCACCGCTGATCACGGTAGAGCAAAAGAAAAAACTAATTCGCGTTTGGAATTCGTGGCGCTTATAGTACATGGATGTGAGATAGATAATGGCCGGCATAATTCCGGCTTCGAACACACCGAGGAAAAAGCGCAACGCAACAAGGCCCTGGTACGTCTTGATAAATCCCATACACATGTTGATAATGGCCCAACTAAACATGAGGAATGGAAGATAGTAAGGAGGATGAACCTTTCTGAGGATCATGTTGCTAGGTACCTCGAGTAAGATGTATGGTACAAAGTAGACCTACGAGTTGTAAGTAAACCTATAGAGTATTGATATCTCTGTTGACTTACGAAAAGGGCAATGTTGAATCTACTACCATATAAATTAAGGTCCTCGGTCATACCCTGAATGCGCGCGTTGCTGATGTTGATACGGTCGAGGAAAGACATGACGTAGATAACGAATAGAATCGGCCAGACATAAAAATCGATCTTGCGGACAAGACGACGTTCTGCGTGAGCGTCGATCGTACCGGGAGGACGACCTACGGACGTAGTCTTCATGCCAGAAGAGACGGTTCGACTCTCTTGGTCCATTGTGGTGATAGTGGTAGGAGCAGGTTTGACTTCGTGAGTCAACTCCTCCTCCGACATGTTGGACGGCATATCGAAAGGTTGATTCAGTTGGGAGCTGGCGTGGATGGGAAATAATTCGAGCTGCTCGAGGTATAAAATAATCCAGGGCGCAATATGGGTAGGGCTAGAGAAAGGAAATGAAAAAGCATAATAGTAACAAATGAAGACAAGGTAAGCGATCGTTGCATACCTAAGACGCTTGAGGATTTCGTAGACTCGCGGGTCAACCCGAATCTTCCTAGGTACGTTCTCCCACCTGTCATGCAGGTTCAGCTGTGTACCTGAAAATAATGGCGTAACAGTTTCTCCTTATCTCGAGGTCGATGACCAATACTTTTTCTTTTTCTAGATTTCCGGTACCTCTCGACTCGAGTTAATTACGTATACACTGTGAATAATGCAGCTAGTTCTCGCTAGTTATATTGCCTCTCGGCCTCTTCTTCTCGTTTGATCGCGAGACATTCCGTCGCATGGTGACCACACGTTCCTAGACATTGTCGGGGACACAAGAACGGTCATCGCTCGGCAATTGAGCTCTGCCACTGACGGATACGTAGAGGTTTCAGTGCTTTGCGCGCCATTGCTGTCTATTAGTACGATATCCAGACTCCAAGTAGAATAGAGCTCAATCTATCCTAACCTTTCCTAGATCACCAAGAGTTAAAGTCCGGCTCCATGTAAATCGTAGACAGGATCCATTCAAAGGCTACATGCCTTTAAAAACAAAGTAATTCAATGCGTGCTAGTACATAGGTTGAGCGTGGGGTGACATGCATGTGATCCATGTAGGTGGAGAGTAATGGGAATATATGTACGGTGTTGAAGAGTCGGCACGGCATAGGTAATTCAGAGTAACCGTAGCTCATGCAGCTCCGATACCACCATATCACCCATATTATATGAGTAATACCATAGTACAGACTTGTACCTGAGCATCTACTGTGTACAAGTTTAGATGGTGGAATATGTACGTCCAAGCCACTCCCAAGCACTCCCAATCACGCCAATAGAATATAGATTAGCTTAAGATAGGCGTAGTTTAGAAGCGATATCTATGTGCAACTACTTTTTAGCCGAGAGATACCTCTACGCCTGCGGGCTCTTGTCTCACATCTTTCGGACCTGTCTTACCAATAGCCTCTCTCAATAATTCGCCATATAATCTAACAACGGCAATGATCGAAGTTTTTACTTTTTCCACGCGGCAGACATAGGCAAGAATCCCTCCCAAAATACGTCCCGATATCCTACCTTCTTCTACCGAATAACAACGAGTTTTGCACGACTTGACTCCCAATTCTATTCAGGCAGCCGATGAATAAACTACCGGACTTAAATAAGCAACTTTTCTTCATTCTTCTCTTAGATAGGTACCACTAACACAGAATTAGTAACGACGGCGACTATCGAAAGCCTTTTCGACTACTTTTCTCATAATGCCTTATTCGCATTACAGAAGCCCAGGTGTACCCCGGTTTAAATGACTAATGTGTGCCATGTCTCACATAAAGACTACCGGAGTTTTGTCTTGGTTCCCTGATAATGGAAGGGATGAAGTGATTCCAAAAAAAATTCATCACGGACTGGCTATGCCCAACTCTGGTCAATCATGAATCACAGCACGACAAGGCATAGAATGGAACAAGAAATAGACGGCGAGCGATACCAACCCCCCGTACCGTAACAAATCATAACTATCGTATGTCGGTGTCGATTAGCCATACAAAGATCTTCAATGTGGCTGGTCTATTCGAATATTCCTTTCTCGGCAAACCGTTAATTGGACGAATGAAAAGAAACTCGTTGCCGTCTTTTATATCGAGGCGTTACTTTCAACTCTGTATGGTATCAATAAACGGAATTCAGAATAAAGGGGCTGAAAATTACGTTCTATATGGTGACATAATGCCGTATTGATGACTACGCCTTCCTTAACTGTCTTATATCAGAGCACTTGCCGATATGTAGCATACCTAATCTAGGCTGTAATTGGGTTTGGTCTAAACACCTCGGTTGTTTTGGAAAGAGCCATCATACACATATACAATCTATACAGTTAACTACATGTGTCTAAGGTCTACGTCTACGTACCCTGAGTAGGAAGGCACCTTGGTGCTTTCCCAAGGGAGTCACAACCACGTTATCCTACCTCATCATCACCCAATTTAGTTTTCTCCCTCTCCCTCTCCTTCTCCTTCTCCTTCTCCTTCTCCGTATTTCTCATAGAGGCGGGTCCTACTTTATTTGAACAACCTCAATTTCATCACAATTCCCGTTCAATAGTTTCCTAGGAGAGGGTGCTCATCTACGTCCACCGCTGGCGGCTAGGCAGCTTTCACTCTAATTTTCCCACTTACGATTCCAGATTGATTCTCGCGCGCATGATACCCAACTAAGATCCTAGCGGTAGCAGTTCAGTAGCCCGGTTCCTCGTAGTTTAATCGTTCTTTCGGATTGTACGTATCCGACCTGTTCTCGCTGTGCTGCCAACATGTCAAGTGTTGCGGGACTCGGTTCGCCGACCGGGGAGACTCAGTACCACCAAAGCAATGCTAGAACGATTTATATTCCTGTTGGTGTATTCCTCGCCATCTGTCCCATTGTCGTCGCCGCCAGAATCTGGGCGCGAGTGGGATGCGGTTTAAAGCTAGGCGCGGATGATTTTATTATCTTATTCTCTCTAGTAAGATGAGACTACACGTAGGTAGACAAGTAGTTCATGCTAATCATTTAATCAGGCATTTGCGCTGGCTTCGGACGGAGTTATGCTCGCTGCTTGTCAATACGGTTACGGTAAACACATCGCGACTCTATCCCCCGACTACAGGTATCAGGCCTTCAAGGTATGCCTCTTGTTATCGATGTCCGACGCCCTTTAACCCCTTTTCATGTAGTACTTTTACCTCTGCCAGGTTACCTACAAGGCCTGCATCAATTCGACCAAGGCATCTATCCTATTTCTTTATCTAAGGATCTTCGGCAATACCAAATGGTTTAGGCTAGCTTGTCGCGTAATGCTCGTCTGTGTGATTCTATACTTTGTTGCTTCCGTCACGGCCACTATATGTCAATGCGTGCCTATCACAAAGGCATTCGACAAGTCCCTCGAGGGTACGTGCATCGACAACGGGCGATTTTGGTACGCGAATGCCGGATTTTCCATTGCAAGTGATGTTATTATCCTCACGTTGCCGATGCCGCTCGTGTACGCTTTGCAAGTCCCCAGGGTCCAAAAGGTCGCGTTGGTCATGGTATTCGCCCTTGGTGTATTGTAAGATTTCTTGTCCTGCGCATTCATTCGCATCATCATGCTAACGGCGCGGGCGACAGCGTAATCATCACATCCTGCTTACGAGTTACGACCCTCGACTTCCAGGCAAAGTCGCCAGACCCAACCTACGATATCGCGTCCACTATGTGGACAGTCATCGAGATGAACGTAGCCATTGTGTGTGCATGCCTCCCGCAGATCCGCCCTCTAATTATCAAATGTTTCCCGAGAGCGATGCCAAGCTACTACGCCGATTCACGCGAGCATTCTGATAAGCACTGCTACACTGCCGACCATCTCCCGAGGTCTATTCTAGGCAGCAACATGGGGAACAATTCGAAATCGGATGAGGGGAGTTGGGCGCGCATCGATAACGACGACATTGGCAGGGTTAGAAGAGATGACATAGCCTTATCGAACCTTCGAAAGGGCGGCTCTGGCTCGGAGGAATATATTTTGCAGGATGACAAGGGATTACAGATCCAAAAGACGGTTCAATACAGCGTCGAATACTCATCAGGTACCAAAGCGAACTCCCGCGCTCAGTTGACATGACGAGGGTATTAAGACTATCAACGATCAAAATCGGAGTCAGAATATCCTGGGCAGTCATATGCGACGCAGCATAATATTTTTAGCTCTGTGGGAGAGGAATGGACTTATCTGTTGAGAAGCATCTGAGAAACAGGAGATGCGGTGGTAGCTGTGTATCATTTGCTCTTCTTTAGGTGTGCTAAATGTAATAAACACTTACCTAGGTAAACTTGCAGAGTGTTTGCTAAGATTGCCGGCGACCCTTCTTATTTATTGGCAAGCTAATGGATTGAACAAAAGTGTTGATTCGGCGACAAATCGGAGTGGTCGAAAATAGCTTCGAGGATAAATACGTCGTATTGAATTGAAAAGGGATACAAATACCTACCAATCGATTCATATGTACATTTGCGGTAAAGCTCGGGATAGCTTGATGCTGTGTATAATATCCGTCCTATGTTGTAGGATGGCGTTGATTGATGGCGTTAGCTATCGTATAATTAGGACCTTCAATTCGGACTGCTTCGTCGCTTGTGCGAGCTTAGATGAAATGATAGTAAATCCGATGGCGAATCGGATTTTCCAAGAACATCTCTTGGCCGCGTCCCCCGTATCCACGGACATACCTCTATTAGGGTAATTTCCATGAGGTCTTGACTACCTCCGAAGGTAGCCTTGAGGTAACTTTAGACGGCTTAGAATAGTTGCTATCCAATCGTCATAAAGAGACATTCAAGTATCGTTTTTTTATTTTTAAAAGAGCAGAACCAACTCAAGTCATAGTCCGAGACCGTAACATGATGCGATGGTGTGCCAACGTCGTACGCACCCGACGACTTTGGGTTTCACGATGATTGATAAATTTAGCTGATGATATTCTTGATGGTCAGCAGCGATTGATGAGTCGAATGTAAATCAAAGCCAGTATATTAATATAGAAAAAAAAATATACCTACGATGTCAGGAATTGAATACTTTGGGTAGATATGCATGGGAGGCCTATTGCTATGTGTGGAGATGGGATATAGGATATACGATAATCAAGTGGTGTGGTTCTAACATTAAAACCCCCGATTAATTTCATGATAGCCATCACGGGATACTTACCTGGGTAAGATCAATGAGAGAAAAATGAATAATAGTAAAAAGGAGAGAGAGGGGGGAATTACATTGAAAGTCAAATAACAAATATCAATATTGAATTCCTAAGTCATAACATACATACATGAACCAAGACGGCACGACCTATGATGGCTTTCCTCTTTACCAGAATAAGTAAAATGCGACATGCACGCGCTTGGTGTGTGGACCAATCAAATCTATCAATTGAAAGAGTAACGAAAGATCGACTTCGGGCGTTGACCAATCATAGAGCGAGAATGACGAGTTATAGGGTTTCGGTTAATAGGAACGAGATTGAGGCTGAGATTGGGGCTGGGGCTGAGGCTAGCGAGTAATACGAACGGACCCCCTTGAAAGATATACCGATTGGCCCTCGTCCTTCTCCATTAATTGGTTCAATTCCAATTCAACCACGACCAGGATGATGATCTAAGCGCGAGGTCTCATTCAATTCGCAATTCACGATTCTCGTCTTGTTACGGGTCTTTCTTAGCTACTTTTGGTCTAGTTCGGTAGTAACCGAATGACAATCTACTATGATACTTTCCTCAACAATAACAAAAATAGGGACCTCGTGACGTCAACGTAGCCCTTTACGGTATGTACCTACGTACCTACCTAGGTATGTAGGTACCTAATGTAACGGACAAGGATATGCGAGTGGAGGCTCCAAGAACGAGAAAGATTTATAAGGTTCTGAAACGATATGTACGATTCAGGTATACTAGGGTCTTCTTTCGAAATGTATCCATGTAAAGATGCGACATGACCTTTCCATCTTTCCCATTCATACGGGAGAACCCACAGCGGACAATTTACCATTAGCGGGACAGAAACAACTATACCAGGTACCTAGGTACCTAGGCTGCTAGTTCACAAGGTTCACAAGGGCCAACCAAAGACGGCAAGATGACAAGGGTGTACCTAGATAAAAGGTACTAAAAACTATGTATTCTCGTCCCATCTAGTTACTAATCTAGGAACACGATTTCCGCCAATGGAGCTCACGGGATCCCCGCAACTTATCATCTTCAACGTTTTTTTTTTTTTTTTCTCTTCGCGTATACCCGCCCCCTAGCTGCAGATCCTTGAATTCGTAAGGAGATAAACTACACCGAGAACAAACTACAAACTACTCGTAGAAGACGATCTTCCCAAATTTAGACACGAGATAGTTCATGTCCTAGTTCCTTGCGTTTTCCGAGCTCGCCGCTAAATTGACATTGCGGGTAGAATGGACTATTCAATTTCGAAACCTCCCCATTCTAACCCCCATACTGGCTCATTCTGGCCCCTTCCCCCCCTATGTCGTCGTTGCCGGTACGATCGACCTATCCCGTTGGGGACCGGCAAGCCGTCCGCGAGATAGCCAAAACTTGGAATACCTCCAGAATAAAGCCGAACCTACTTCATGGATCCCATAGACGGTTATGTATCCACCCCGCAAAATCTCGTGTTGGTGTATCTCTTATTCTCCTTTCGTTATTACGTAGTATCAAAATATTCATGTTGGGACAGGGTCAACCAGTTAGCTCCCCATGTGGGATAGTGAGATAGTTAGGTTAGGTGAATCCTAGGCAAGCTTGGTATTGCTATGTTTCCACCGCGGTCGAGTTGCCGTCGCTGGAGTCATCATAATCACATACCCGAATCTTCAAGGAACTTTCTCTATCAATGTAGACATTGATGGAGAAGCAACAAGAAAAGCGAAAGGAAAGTTGATAAAAAAAAACGAAACGATTCGAGCTCGTTACCAGGTCGTCGGGTTCAGCCCTATAGCCTCCGCAATGGGCGGTACATTTCCCGATCATTATCAGCCTCATCGACGAAACATCCCGTAAGATATCGCGTATGTCAGCTTACATGTATGAGAAATCGGTTACCATAGAAGCTGAAACCTGGCCGGATATGCACCAACCTACGGTAATATGCATACCTCGAGACCCTTGAAGATCGGGGAGATCTGAGTAGCCTTTCCTGGGGGGACTACACGGACTATTTTAGTATAGCCTATGACCTAGGTGTCTATTCCCCTTGGGCTCGCCATTTTTTATTTTATTCTTTTCGAGATTGTCCCCTCTCGTGAACATATCAACTTCGTTATCGTCTAGAAGATCGGTCCTTTTTCCTCACACGAGGTCTGGTCGTTGCGGGTCAGCAGATATACCCGATATATCGTGATCTGGTTCACCTTCGGGGGTGGGAATACTCTTTCGAATCATGCCGTAATCTGGACAATTTGTTCTCAACACGGCGGACGAATTCGCCTATTTCACTTAGGATGCTTATCCAACATGGAATAACTAACTATATCTATCATCTAATTCTACATTCACGTTCATCAAGCCGGAGAGCTAGAAGACATTCTATATCAACCAAGGCAGCATCATCTTCAGTCTATCACTTCATATTCATCACAAATCTATCACTTCCATCATTCTATTACGTTTACATTTAGCTTGCACTATGCCTCAATTCATATTCGTTGAGCTCCCTAGCTTTCGCATTAAGAATGCTAGCGGACATACGGTACGCCTCAACTACTCACAGCTAGGTTTGGTTGGCGCGTTATATCAATTTGTACGGGGCGGTCTCCGTACAAACGACCAAGTCGACTTGTCGGCCTCTCTTCTCTTCGCGGATGGGGAAGCCGACTTATGGACAGCAGTAGCAGGGACAGGAGATGGCGGACATCATCCCCACGCCGAGGAGAATATGTTGTTATCGTACTTTCAAGCCTTCGACTCCCCGGGATCATACCCGATTGTCGACGCGATGTTACTGCGGCGCGGAGAACCATGCAACAATTGTGCCGGGTATTTCACCCTCGGGGGTAAGCAGCTGCGGCCGCAAGATGGGACCCTGGCATTCCGTGCCAAGTTTACGGCGCGTTCCGATCGCTCTTACACGCCGGTTTTTCATTTAGCCCGTGGGCTTGACGCCACGCAACGGGCCGCTCTGTGGGCACAGTTGGCGCAGATGCGGACGGACGAACCTGGGATCGTTATCGCGTCCAGCGCAGATGTTCCAGTTGGGCAGGCGTACTACCTCATTCACGACTCGCCCTGGTACGCGATTAACGGGCAGGAGAGCATGACGGACGCACAGATCGCCGAGGCAATTGCGAGGCAGGGGTATCTTCCGACCTATTGGATCGGTAGATGAATAAATGATACCAAGTGAGTCAAGAATATCCGAGTACGATACGATGCTAACCTCTTATCAGTCATATAATTCGCTATAGTAAAAGGTGGATAGAAGAATCAATTGAAGAGGTGTACGAATCACTTGTACAACAGATATGGGAAGGGCCGGTCCCAAGTAGGACAAAAGGGAAACGGTTTAGTCAAAAATAATAGATCCGGTCAAGGGGGCGTTGGCGGACATTGACTTTTCAAAATATTTCTTTCCTTCTTTAGAAACGATGTATTATCTATATCACACTAAACAGTCGCAGGCTAGACAAAATCTAAAACAAAGATGTTATAGGACTCCTCATCTCGGAAAGCTTGAACTCGCTCCCTAGGTCATTCGTCGGAGAGGATACCGAGGCGAGATGACCCCTTTTGGTGCAATGGAAGCTGATATCAGCTGGTTGCTGCATTAGCCCGCAACTTTCCTTTCTGAACTACATAGATATTTCCTAGGCCCCAAGCTTCAGTATGTATGGTAAAAAGAGATTGATGTTGTTTTGATGTATCACGTGATCGGACGTCTTGCCCTTTCCCTCCGGTTAGGGAGAGGTCGACGAGAAGTATCTTAGATTATGAAACCTAATGTCTTTAGTATTGGGATAGGGTACCAGAGTTCGGGGATTATAGATTCTGGTTCATCGTGTGCTTAGGATATCTTGTACTTATCACTGCCCCTAGGTATTAATGGAAAGAGGCATTTCATACCTGCTTGGGTGGGCGCCTAGTTAGGCACGCATACGCAAATATAGGTCAACAAATTATTTATCGTAGTATATACATGATACAATGAATTTAAATAATATAAAGAGTCTAGACTTTAACTGCTTAATAGGTACCTAGGTAGATATCATGTTAACAATGCCTTAGGCAGAGCAGAGAGTAAGCTGTAGGGTAGACTTTCCCTAAGATTGTCTAGGGAGGATATATTTAAAACCCTCCCTAAATTCAAGCAATGGGCTAACCAGCAAGGAACTGTGAAAATAGTCACCTTATAGGAATTCTTCGTAGCTCGTTGTTACGAAAGGTCACTACATACAGGCGGCAACAAGGACACCCAGAATAGAGGCTACCTTAACCATTGAATATGTTGAACAGTCTCTCATGCCTCCGCCAATGCCTAATCCACCATCGCTTGCCTTATCACGAGATTGGCACATCTGCACAGTTGAATCCTCCATACGATTGTGGCGTCATACTACTGCAAGTATGCATGTGTGCGACAATGCCGAGGAGACTGGTCTTTATATCAATGCTTCCCCCGCTTCTAGGCAGTAGGTAGTGTCGACTATTGCTAGCGCTTCGCCACTATTATTATCTATAGACTAATGAAGAACTCATACCTTCGTACTAGACAATAGGGTCGATCGATTGGACTAGGAACTTGCAAGTAATGCGATAGATGGGCGACAACAAGAAGTAGGCATCCGTTCAATATATCATATGTTGTGGCAATACCCTAACGATCGGTGAACGTGTTTTTAGAGCGAAGGCGATCGGTGAATGTAGATCTAAGTCTAACATGGATAGCCTGATATCATAGCAACGTAATTCATCAAGCCTATCGAATATCCAGGCCGAATTATCGTAAGTATCTTGCTCATTATATTGTCGATACCTCACCGTAGTCTTTAATGACGATTTTTGCATCCACGGAGAGAAGAACTGCCCGATCAACTTGGCCAATACATGGCCATACAGGTTGCTCAGTGATTCCTTTACAGGCTGAGCTCTTTCAGTAGCTAGCATTAGTCTCTACTTATCAGCAGATGACTTCATGTACCTAGGTAGTCGGGGCTTTTAGCACAAAATATTGGAAGCAATGAGGTGATTATATTTCACGTTATCTACCTAGGTACCTAGGTATGTATCAATGTTAGGTGGGCTGACCGTACGCGTATCCTACGGAGAGGGCCTATCTAAGAATGGTGTGGTTTACGGCGTACTCGGCTGTTCAAAGAGACTCTAATCACGCTACGAGCAACCCAATCGCGCAATAGAGACGTTTGAAGGCGTGCAACTGAGATAAGTCATATCTCTGGGTGCTCGACGACCCAGTCTGATTGAAAATAGACGCAATTGACAGCCGACCGAGTCTGGAAATTGCTGAACCTAAGATGTCCGACTAATGAAGATTGTGAGGGATTGATAAAGCATTCGGTTAGTGTACCGATGGGTGAGTGGGAATTCTGCATAATCTCACAACGCCCGGTGTTTTGCGTATTACATTAGGACGATACGCCTTCGTTACCCCAGACCCCATATGCAGAGAATCCCTGAGTGACTAGGGAAATGAATATGGCATTTTGAATGCGGTCTTCCGGATAGAGGTGAACTACCGGACGTTATGGGTTTCTTTCAGCATGAAAGAGCATATGATTAGCCATAGAAAGCATCTATTGTTAACCGAGTCATCCGAGCTAAGGTTCAGCCAAGGTCAGGGTCTTTCAATTCCTGTCATCGTTCTGGCCATTCGGATTCACCGCTATTTCGCCTGTGTTGAAGAACCGAGTCTTGAAGCTCTCTCTTGGAATTGAATCATACGTCAATGACTTCAAAATCGAACCGTCCCTATGGATCGTATGATCGGGCTATGTCTTGCGAGAGTCAATAATAAAACGTCCCAATCTCACGTGCAACGTGATTGGCAAAACCAATAATCTTGCATGTTATGCTTGGCCGGTTTTCGCAGGTGATCGCTCACCAGGAATATATAATCCTTCGCGGAGCATTAGGTCCTGACGACGCTGCCGGCAACCGTGTGGCGTTAGCAGACCAACGAATCACAGTCGCGACAACACCACGAAACAACCCGACCAAGAATAGTTCCACGACCGAAAGCTACCGAAAAATCATGGTACAAAATGTGATAGAATTTGATTGAGGCGTGTTCTGCAAGTTTGAAGAGGTAAAAGGTGTGGTCAGTGCGTAGAACCGAAGCATAGACCCAATAGGCAACACGGCACTTGGCGGGCTGGTCGCTCTCTCGGTATTAAAACCTTGCAGATATTTTAAATGCTCTTTTGCGACCAGCGGATTACAAAAGGCATACACGAGAGCACAGCATTGCGCAGGTGCTGGTCAGTCATCGCTCTGTGGTGATACTGTTCCACAGAGATCAGATCTCTCGTCAGCTGCGGCTTCCGAGCGTCAATGTTACTGTCATATTACGAGGTGGCGTCTTTCGGGGATTATATACTTCCTTAGATGTAATATGAGTCAACCCGGACCGGCTTCTGGGTAGATCGGGGCTTGATGGCCGGAGCTTCCTGTGGCCTTTCTCCGATACATTTCATCTCCATGCTCTCGGCGGGCATATCCACAATACCAGCCGCTTCCATAATAGATGCGGTACAGTCCGCGGAGTTGTCGAGATGTTAGCAACGGTAGCCCTGGTAAACTTCGGGTGACTACCTAGGTAGTCTCGCTACACGATGTATGGAAAGGGGAACAAAAAAACGAACTAAACTCCGAGGTCTTCATTCCTCATCAACCCTGTTTGATTCTCGCGACTAACGCTTATTACCCAGCTAAGAAGATCACTAACTAGGTAGGGATAAGAAGGAATTTTTGGGTCCTTTATTACTAAAAGACAATGCGAAAAGAGCTTAGATCTCCTTTTCGGCTATCGATCTCTCACCAAAAAGCCCGATGCCCGTATGATAGCGAGCGAAAGTTTTAATAATTAGAGGACGGCAGTCGACGTTACAATTATTAGGAATGTGCGCGCCAAGATGCCTACCATACCTGGTAAGGCAAGCCAGGGGCAGAGGTTACCCACCTTCATGAGAGGGCTAGGTTTAAGATCGTCCATGGATGTGCCCATGCATCCAAACTCGCTGTTGTCTTACCGCCGCAATATTTTTCAATTCTTCACGATGTCTAATGAAGTATTTGGCGACGATTTAGCGACGATTCAATCTGTAGGCCTGATTAATACCAACATACCAAGTCTGATATCGTGATAGTTAAGAATAACAAAGGTATCGTACTAATTAGAATGAACAAATGCTTGTATTTAAGAGTGGGCCATGTCGGCTCTGAGCGGATAGACGTATCACGAAACTAATTCACGTGGGGAATGTAAGCCATCACACGAGGAGTCGAGGATATTGACGTATCGTAAAATCTACGAGCTTACAGTGTTGGTGGGATGGTATCAAACTGGGAATAGCCTCAACAGAACTTCACTCCAGGCATTTTCCTACCTATCTTCCACAGGCTTTCCGATATCCCGAAGGAAGCCTGTGATGATGACCCAGTGATCGACACGAATGTACATTCAACCATCCCATTGGGAACAGGAGGCCCTGTTATTTCCTAGCTTGGAAATCCGGGTACATTTGTATTGGATGTCTCACTGGTGCTGAGATCGAATTTGACTAAGGAATCAGAACTCTTCAACTCTCGCTCATTGATAAGCAATGCAATTCGAGTACCAAGATCGTCGAATTCGCGATTTTTCGAAAATCCCATCAGAAGCGTTTATATGGTTTCGAAATGCCGATCTTGGTCGAATTGAATTGAAGTTATGTGTTATCTACCAAAGCAACCCACAAGGTAGCACGGCTTGCGACGAGACTGGGCTAGATCTCAACGAGTCCGCCGTCTGACATTACACAACATGCTGCATTATGCATCCATCGTGCGCTGAGAATGGATCTCTTGCTCTTCTGGTAGAATATAGATTGATGAATGGTTATTACAACCACTATCTGCAAACGGCTATGGTTCGTAAGGCAAGGACACCGTTGCGCGAAATGTAACGGGCGACAAGCTTCTGGTAGCTATAGTAACATGTCGTGCATGCTGCTGCATACATCCAGCATAATCACATGCTTTTTGCAACCTCCCAATAAGCGGTTCCCATCAGGAGTTCCACAACTCCATCCTTTTCTTCGTTGTTGGTGTCCGCGCTCTCCCTAACAACCAATATAATTTTCGGGCCTATTCGTCCTTGCAGAAAGTTGCTTATGCCCATGGGGAAATCGATGGCAGAGATGAGATGTTCCCGTTCCCCGAGATCTGTGTTATCTTTGCCCCAAAGAAACTGACGAACGCACGAGACATGCCCCATCCATACGAACTAGAGAAATAATTTCCAGGTTGATGAAATTTTAACGTTACAAGCCGTCAGAGTTCCTCCTTAATCTACGTATATTGTGTTGGTATACCTTCGTCGTAAGCGCTAGCCTTGATGTAGAACTTCCGTGATGCGGTATATCTCTTCTTGTCGTAGTTGGTTTCATGGTTCACCTGTCCAAGCTCCTTCAACGACGAGTCTTCTGTCACATGATCTCTACCTTTATGCATGTATCCTCAGCCTTACATAGTAGCTAGAAACAAAGATCTGGAGGACAATAAGTAGAAAATCATTACCCGCCCAAGCCGTATAGGCCGTCTTTGATGTGTTTAGTTCCACGCACACGTGAAGTAGCCTCCCGTTTCGTTTCGGCCCGCTTCGCGACCACATACCTAGGTATCATCGACATGCCGCAACAAGCGCCACGGACAACACCATCGTTTCTTGCTAGGGCTTGGATGCTACCTAAGTTTGCTCCCCCCCCCTGAATTTGTGTGACAGTGAGCTGCCCATCTGAGATTACCGACGCGTCTACGTTAGACGCAGATATCTCCGAGCTCCCCTCATCT